CGAGGCCATTAGTAGTAGCCTGTCCACAGACGTTTTGCTGTTAGTATTTTTTGGACAATTCGACCGAGCGGGCACGGACCGTGAGTAAATCCCCCGCGGTTTTAATTTTCATATGAGGCCGCGCTCGACGGAAAAATAGAGAAAAATAGAGCGTCTGTAAACAGGCTATAATAATAGTACTATTATACTAGACTTGGCAACGGTAGGCCCAGGTCCGATTACCGGACAGAATAAAATAACTGATGACAACTAGGATAAGTATTCCTCACCAAGGCTATTGAAGGATCCAGATCAGAAATGTTCATTCTACTTGGGTAGTTACAATGATAACTCTAAGGAACACAAACAATAAACAATAACACATACTTAATAACCCGGGGGTAATGAGTGGTAGGACTAGGACTGAAAAGCGATGTTCTCACAACTTCAGTGTGGTTTTGATGACTGTTGAGCAAAAAGGAGTTCGTTTTGTTCGGAAACAGTTGAGAAAATTTTAAAACAACACGAAGCAGCTGCGAAAACAATAGCTGAGGCCGAGTATGTGAACAGCTGTTTACCTCGAAATGATGTTGTAATTGCTGGTTTGCACGTGACGTCACGCAGCCAAGGTGGTAGTCAAGAACAAAAGTAACCTGCGTTCAGGCGATTTTTTTGGGGGGCGGGGGAATTTTCCCTCGCCAAAAATAAAAATTGCCTGATCGCAGGTTGGAAAAAAAGCATTTCTCTCCTTTGGGAACTTAACTCTATTTTCAAGTAAATTCTTCGAGAAAAAATTACATTGTTTTGACCCCCAACACGGCTGCCAAAAGAAGGGTTTAGCCACTTGCACAAAACAATTTCCTGGTACTCACGATGTTGTTTTGAACCAAAGAGCATAGAAAAAGATAATACCTCATCTGGGATTTGACTCATTTTTTCAGGAAATACAGCTTGTTGTGTGGTGTGAGGGTCGAGATACAACAAATTATCACCTTGAAATGAAAGGAGAAATAAAAATTAGAGTTATCTTCCACGTAACAGTACAAGTCCCTAACCATTCATATCCCTTCCCCTTATTCCAGGGATCAGAGACACCAGCTCGAGGCAAGGATTGAAAAATACAATAATTCTGTGAATTTGATTCTTTCCAAGGGGGCACTCCCTTTAATGGCCATATGGGAAGGCTCCACTTGAAAGGTGGTACCTTCTTCAGACTTCAAGTGTATGAAAGGGTAGGGGTTCCATTAGACTTACAGCAGTCTCTCTTTTTCCTTATGCACCAGTCAATGTAAACCCCTGCAGCCCCCCTCCCCTACCCCACCCCACCGGCTGGGAAATAGCAGGGCATTTGACAAGCGCTCACTGTTAAAGTTGTAAAATGCCCCGCATCCCAAGGTCAGCTTTTTTCTCTACTTGAAGCTAATGGTCCTGAACTTGTTTCATTGTGTATGCTCAACTGAAATGGAGAGCAAGAAAGTCTATTTGCATTGAGTCAAATGAAACCTGGAAAGAAACCATTCGTGCTACCGGTAAATGACAGCTACTGAGCATGACTTTCCGGAGTGCTGTTTTGTATCACGCTGTACAGGGTGTCTGTGGGATTTTATATGTTGAAACCGTAACACCCATTCAAATGATAGTTACCAATATTGAGGAATTTATTTTGTTGGTTTTGCTGAGGTTCTCCTCAAAAGCAGCAGCGACAAAATGCAGGCCACAAGTTCAGGATAGGGTACAGGTCACCGTGCTACGGTAAATAAACAACACTTTAAGTGTCTCCTAGCCCTAATCACAATCCGAATTATAGATTTAGCTTAATGGGAACTGCTTGTCTCAGTTTTTAATATTTGTGACCTGCTTTTGTGACCTGTGACTTGTGTTTTATACCTGCCACCTAAAAAGATAGCTTGTGGATTTGAGAATAACTTTTCAAATGAATGTTATTAAGCATAGAGCAGTACTTTATTTACCATAAAATCCTATGAAATAATATGCATGATTTGGTTTTCCACCGATAACTCCTACACACTGGGTAAATTTGAAGCAAGCCTGAAATAAAGACAACAGAAAACAATATCAACAGAGCCCATGAGATTTTTTTAAAAAAAATATCCAAACTTACCCAAAGAAAATTTCTTCTCATTTTAGGTGCACTGGGAAGTTCCACTAAAAACTTAACTATTATGTATGTTGTACTCTCATTAGCATAGAAGCACTTCGAGGTTATCCGGCCAAGCTGACCACATGCTGGCCGAGATAGACCACGACACTGCAACTACCGGTACATCCCTAACTCTTTAAAAACAGTGTGTAGGTTTAATAATAACATCCCAAAGAATTGTTTTACAAGCAACAGCTGTGAGATGGGGCGGAGGGTTTATTGTACTGATTGGGTTTTTCACTTATCTAATAGAGCTAAGTGGTAAAAAGTCAACATTCACTAAATAGTCAGGTTTACAAGCCTGGTGTAATGGTATATCATTATAACCAAACATATTGCCTTTTCATACTGGAAGCCTGTGTGCAGCCACCCCCTCCCCTCGAACAAGAGGGGGGGGGGAGCAGCTGTACATACGCTACCTTCTGGGAATAAGGTGCATAAAATACCCTAAGCATTGAAGGTGAAAGATATTTATTTTGTTGTAAAAAACCCACGTATACTATATACCCCAATATACTGGCCAGTCATGAGGAGTTCCATTAATTGCTGTTCTGGCAGAAAAATCCCAGATTTTGTTGGAAGTAAGATAAAAAATTTGCCCGTCGGCATGTGATCATGATAATCTGAGAAGTCTACATGCATGACCTTTCACTGATAAAAGTGTAATAAAGAAAATCACCTTAAATGGTTCATTATAAACTGAATTCATTTCGGACAATCCTAATCTTAGTGGTATAAAAAGAAGCAGTGGTCTCCAGTGTGACTTTCTGTGTTTCACTCCTTCTGTTGAGTCTGATCTTCGGCTTTCACCCTTTTCTGATGAGTGTCTACGTCGTGATGTCTCTCCATACGTCCTTGAAGGCCATTCTCTTTTGCACAGAATTTCTAATTATCCAAAACAAACAAACAAAACATTATTTTATTCTACAGTCCTCTGACATGACCCACAAACACTTCATTAAGCCCTCAGAGGGGTGAGGATGTTGTAGGTAAAACACTTTCTCAGGTCAAAAAAGAATACATGTAACAGAGTGGAGATTCTTCTGTTGGGACAACATATTATAAAAAATATTCTTCAACACCAACAATTTGCTAAAAGTTTAGCAGAGCTTTTGAGAACCCATCCTGATCTCTTCATCAGTGATGACGTTTACTGTCATTCACAGCCTCGTTTTGATGAGGCTGCAAAATTGTTCCATAAATTGGGGAAGGTTGTAGCCCTGATCATGGTTCATTTGCAAATAACAGCAAATGTCATCACTGATGAAGGGATCTGGATAGGCTCCAAAAGCTCTGCTAAACTTTTAACAAGTGGTTGGTGTAGAAGAATATTTTTATAAATAAACAATAGACCTCTATAGCTTGTATGTTAAATGTCATCACAATGTAGGTCACTTGATAATATTCAAGAAAACTGTTTCTTTCAATTTTTATATTATTCATGTGCATAATTTATGAAAAGACAATGGGTCAAGTTCCCCTGAGATCTTCACTGGGAAAACACAACATACAAGCTAAAGAGGCCTATTTCTTTTGTCCTCTATAAAAAGTTACGGCCTAGTAAGAAACAGAGAAAATTCTGAACCAAACTAGTTAAATACTTTCAAATTAAACTAAGAATGGATTTTACTTGCAACAGGAACACATATTTTACTCTATTTCGTAATGTACAGGAAGACTTACATGAATAATGATTGAGATAATATTGTAAATAAAATGATAATAAAAAATATTAGTAAGTATTATAGTGTTGTTAACTACTGTTATAAGTAGACCTTGACGATTAAGATTTTGAGCTTCTTTATTTCAGGCCTGTCAATTAAAAATAAAATATTTATGAAAATATATATTGGGTTTTAACAGAGATGGTAGGCTGAATTTCAGCCGTCCCCTCAAGTTGCAAACTCCTGAGAAGGACGTCTGAATCAACAAGCCTTTCAATCTTGGGAGTTTGCAACTCAAGAGGACCGTTCAAACTGAGGCTACAGAAAGGGTCCTTTATAAGAGGTAAGTGTGAAAAAGTTCTGTTTTTAGGTACAGGTATGTGATGAACTTACTGATATCGTTTACTATGAGAGTATTATCCATGGCTATGTGCACACAAAGAGAACTCCAGTCATCAAAGGATGTAAGTTTTCTAAGAGAAATAAAAAGCAAGATAAAAATGTCAGCCAGCTCAAAAAAGTCATGATTTGTAATTTTTTTTTTTAAAAAAAGCAATTTATTTAAGATAAGGTAACAGGTTTATTGAAGTCAAACTAAATTTTCATTGTTATCGATATTTACTAGCATAAAAATGTTTTTGCTATCACAATAAATACAAATAATGATCACTAATAAATCTATCATACCTCAAAACTAAACATTCACTTGCCCATCAAGCAAGAAAAGGATCAAATCACTGGCCCAACCACATATAATGTACTAGTCCCACACTACTGAACAGGGTGTCTTGAAAACAAAGACCCCTAAGATCCCTATGACCCCCTCCCCCCCAAGCCACCCCTCCGAATGACTCTGAGCTTTATTGATTAGGGTTAGGACACTGAGTTAATCAACTCTCAGATCAGTTTGTCCAATATAATGACTTAAATGGAACCTGATTCACTCAGTTTTCTATCCCTGATCAATAAAGTTCAGAGTCATTTGGTAGGGGGTCTTAGGGGGTCTTGGGGGTCTTCAGGGTCTTTGTTTTCAAGACACCCCTACTGAACACAACTTTCTTTCTAACCACAAGTAGGTGGAATATGATTGTCCGGGTGAGTATAGTCCTGAATAGGACTGTTGGTGACAGTGACTGAAGTTTTAATGACCTGTGCCTGTGCGGAAGTCGTCCTCAATGTATCAAATTAAAGTGTGATGTATCAGGTCTGCTGATGGTATCAACCTTTTAAGCCTCAAGGGTGACCAAAGTCAATTTTCTCCCAACAAAATCAATACATAATCAAGGGAAAATGTTGTGAGAATTAATGAAATAATCACCTGATGGGAAAAGCTTTGATATAGAGATCAGTCTGGGGAATTTGTATTTGGATATTGGGGCTTATAGAGTTTAACTCTGGTTACTGACCTGATTGGTCAATTAAGTCACAACGTTATTATTCATGTGTCAGTTAAGCTTCGATGTTATTGGCTATGATTGGTTCATTTCAGTATGTCTTTTGTCATAGTTTACAGTATCATAGCTTGGTAATTAGTATGTTTTTTTGCATTCTTACTTGAGTACTTGCGCAATTGTATTGGGTCCAAACCAACTTCCAACAGGTTTCCCTTCAGATACACCCATTTGAGCTGTATCAAAAACAGGAAAGCATTTAAATCACTGATAAAATATATTTCAAAATAATACAACAGTGAAATCTTTCTGAGATGTACACACTTAAGACCAGCTGGTCTGACCTTAAGAGCTATCAACTTTTTTATTATTATTTTCTTTTTATTTTATACATGTAGTTTTCAAACAACCTCATCTCCAGTGCTTTCCCTTCGTAAACCAGCGTCTTGAGAAAAGTATGATCATACACAATAAATGGACTTTTCTCTTCTCACAAATTTATATTGGTTTGAGTTGATATTTCACTACATTTTTTTTCGAAAAAGTGTCATTAACTTGTCAGGGTTACGTTCTGCATGAGCTTTCGAGAAGGTCAGACAAGAGTAAGTAGGCTCCGAGTTTTTCATTTTCAGTGCCGCTGAAATTGTATTTGGCACCATATATCTTGTTCTAACTACCTGCCTTGATTAATTGCAACTTGCAGGTAGATAATAATTGTTATATCAACTCCTCTTCTAACTTAATGCTGTAATAAAGTTGTCATTATTGTTGTTGTTGTTGTTGTTAAAAGTTCAAAGGTTTCTATCAGGCATGAGAAATAAGTCTGCAACTGTCAGCTGTCATGAGAGCAAAGCTTTTGACATTAAGGCATATGCATGAGATTCACACCTTAAGGCCAAATATGAAACTTGGCAGGTAAAACAAAACATAAAATAGGATTTGAATACACACAAAATGGCACTTGCCTATCTGATGGATGGAATACAGACTGTCCTTTTTGTCAAGAAAGTTCTGCAAAATCTAAATTCACATAACCCAATAACATATTAGTAAAGAGAATAATAGGAATGGATTGCTAAAAAGGACATTTTAAAATCAATTACAGGTAAGAAAAAAAGCAAAAATAGAGTGACTCTAAGGCCAAACCTGAATAATTTTTACATTACAGGTTCAGTCCACGCATCTGATGCAAAGTTGTTTCTAACAGCACAACAGCATGAGAGATATTTGAAGGATTTAAAGGATTTAAAGGATTTAAATGTCTAAAGCTATAAGCAAACCGACACAACAACCAGGGGCGGATGGATCTAGGGGGAAGGGTAAAGGGGGTACACACCCCCCCTCCCTGAGATGACCGGTGGTTTTCTACAACTGGTATTCTGCCAAAAAAAAACTATGTGGTTTATTGGCATTGAAGTAGAGCAAGAGACAAGTGCACCCCCTCCTAAAAAAATCCTGGATCCGCCAAAGAAAAGAATTGGGCCAGTGCAGGGAAGTTAATGGGAAGGGAAGCGAAGGAAAGGGAGGAAGTGAGAAGAAAATGAAAGGGAAAGGAATCAAAGGGGAAGGCAAACAAGTTCACAAGGTTGGGCAGAAGGGAAAGGATGTGATGCATTGATGTGGTTGAGCTGGTTATGACACCCACCACTGCCTGGTCAGCAGAGCAGCAGTCTACCACCTGAGCTATGCAGGTAGTGATAGGGAGGCATCAAGAAACATCTAAAGTCATTACAGTAACTATAAAAAGGTTAAAGTTCATGATCTACAAACCAGTTTTCAAACTAGTTTGATTTGGAACTTTCTTCATTTACTAGCTATGATAATAATAATAATAATAATAATAATAATAATGATACAGCTGACTCCCAGTAACTTGAACCTTCTATAACTCAAACCTCCTGCTAACTCGAAGCAATTTTTTTCGTTTCCCTTCAGATCATTTTCCCTTGATAACTTGAACTCCCAATAATTCAAACTTTTTTCTATTTCCCTTGAAGGTTCGAATTATTGGGAGTTGACTGTAATATTGATGATGATAATAGTAATAATAATAGGATTTTCTTTGCAGATTATGAATAATTATAATTTATAGCATATAAAGGAAATTCTGATTTAACCTAACAAAATAGACTACTGTACCTGCATGTAAACTGGTTGAGTAGTACCAGCTTCCCACTGCCAGTCTGTAACAATGAATAATACCAGAAAGCATCATGGTTGGCTTGGATCCAATTTGCACGTATTTATGAACTAACTTACACATAATCTCACAGATCTTATTGGCAGAATTTGGAAAGAACCTTTCTAAAAAGAGCCACTTGGTTACAGTGGAACCTTGATTATACAATGAAACTCTAGTGACATACCAAAGTCCTCGGTATAACAAATGATATTCTTCACCACAACAGTAGTAAAATATGGGGAAATTAAAAGAACTTCAGTCAATAAAATGAAACTTTGTTATAGTGAACATGTTAATTTTTGCCAGTCCCTTGGCCTTTAGTTATATCAAGTTTTCACCATACATACCATAAAGCATAAAGAGCTGAAGACATGGTCTTACCTCTTCCAAGATGCCTGCAGGTTAGTGCCTGTGCAAATATCATCTGTCCACATCTCAGCATACAGCCCCATCCAGTATCAGCTGTTGGGCCTGTGCCACCTTCAAAAATAATAGAGACCTTTAGATTCAAGGATGAGAATTGACTTAAAGTTTATTTTTGTGTTTTATTTCTCAAATGATATACACCCCAGAACCTTCATTTCACATTTTTTTCACTTCAAAAGCGGGGCTCGAACTTGGTGGTGGTCTGCTGGACAAATACCAGTAGATTTCGATTTTTGGCTAGTGGATTTAGCTAATTTACTAGCCATTTTGGCTAGTTAATTTTCGCCCCTGTAAACAACATAAGCCTTGAAATGTTTTCAACATTTTCCCAGTTGATCCGCACCTTCTAGTAACCTCTTATTTCATTCCCCCATTAACAACTGGCATGAATAGAAGAAAGAAAAGTAATTCTACATAAGAATAATATTTGTTAATTCGGTTTTCAGTTTCGCGTTTATTCGCTGCCATCTTGAAATTTTGTACAACCAGGGAGCATGGGCCAAGCGTACCTATGATGCAAAGCTAGCCAAAAAAACAAATGTCCGCCATCTTGAAATGCAAATCTACCATCACAGTCCACTTGTGATTGTCATGGATATGCAGTTTTAATTAACATTTGATAACAACAGGATTTTTGACATTTTTTTAATTTATTTTATGCTGTACAGAAGTGCCTAGACTAGTAGAAACACGTTTATGGCTAGTAAAGCCTGAGCATGTACTAGCCATTTGACTATTAAGTTAAAAAGTTAAGTTCGAGCCCTGAAAAGTAAACACAGTTATTCTTATTAAAGGAGGTTAAACCCTCTCCCAGTCACAAAATGGTAAAACGTCTAACATTACTTTGATAACTTGTCTCTACCACTACCATATTCTTGCTAAACCTTGAAGTAGGGTGTCAACTGCTATCACATTTTGCCACCAAAATGATGCTGGTTCACAAGCACCCACTTCTTAGTACTGAGAAAATCTTGTTCTCATAGTCATACTGATCAGTGTGCAAAGAAAGTACTGTCCGATAGCCCGGGGCTAGTGGATTTTGCTATCGGGCTAGTGAATTCTGTTTTTAACTTCCCCGACGGGCAAGTGATGTTTTATGAGGAATTTGAATAACAGAAGAACAAAAAGCGTTTGGGGCTAGTTGAAATGACGTCTGGGCTAGTAAATGCTAGCTTCAGCTTGTCCGAATGGCAAGCTGTAAAAATGATTTTCTTTGCACCCTGCTGATCTTAGAATGTAAAGATCTCTCATAGCAAAGGAAGCCCCTACTTAGAAAAAATAATTATTGTAAGGAGCCAAAATATTCTAAACTTTTGAAATCGAGGGTGCCCAGCATATGATTTTCCCCCTGTACCCAGGAGAAAAAGTTATGCACCAGGGAACAATGCGTGCACCTAGAGCGTGGCACAGCAAAGTCAGTGAGAAGCAAAGAAAGAGCCAGATCTATGGAGATATTTCATCTTTGGCCACTCAGGAAGTCCCACATTAGTCCCGCAAGAAATAAATCCTGTATTGACCAAGCTTTTGCAGTCTAGGTGACTTGATATCACATTGGATTTGTTCTTTTATTTTTACTGAAATAAAACACCTGGCCAATATCCAATCATTTTGACCTCATGCTAGGTCAATAATGCGTATCCAATAACAGACCTACTCAACCTTTTCCACCCTCAAGAATGGACATTCACTATCTTGCCGACAACTTGCTTTAAAAGAAAGCTAGATCAATATTACTCACCAATGGCTTGGAAGTTCTTTCGATATGTAAACCAATATCTTGACCTGATATCCCTCATAATTTTTGTGTTATCATCCTCTGAAATGAATCAACATCAGATTGTGATGTGATGATGATGGTGATGATAGTAAATCCTTTACCCAAGCCAATCAGGAATTATAATGGTACTAAGAAAGGTGGCGCAGCCACAGAGTCAGCTCATTGGAGTAGCGGACAAAAGTCCTGGCTCTAGTCTTACTCTGGATTTGACGGTTTTTCACTTAGTGTCTTGAGTTCAACTCCTCAGTTCATGTGTTACCTTCTGCTGAGTTTTTAATCCTCATACTGTATGTTCTATTTGTATTATTTGTTTCAAATTATTGAGTTGGAATGCCTGTATGTTAACTAGCTGAAGCAGCTAAGTGCGCTTTAATTTCACTACACTAAAAAAAGAATTTTCTGTTCAACAAGTTTGGAAAAGTGTTTGCAATGTGACACACAGTTTGTGGCTACAGCATTTTTCCTTTGTGCAACAGCTACTTCCATACTATCGTTTATTTTAGAATTCCAATCTTGTTATTTTCCAGTATATCAATGGGAAATTCCTCTTTGCCCACTGCAGATGCATCTAAGTCTTACGGCTGTATTTTCTACATTTTGTTTATTTGCTACAAATTGGAATGAAAACTTGCCATAAAATGATCATGGAATGGATTATCAAGCATTTGGAAAAACAGCTAACAAATCGTCTGTCTTCCAAAATATAAGCCTGAGCGAACTTATACAGCTGCAGATCTTTCATTTGAATAAAGTAAAAATAAAACTTAAATCTTCTGGGCCATTCCATTTAATATCCACACCCCCCCTATGGATGAGACTTTCTGAGGGGTCCCCTAAAGACGAAAATACTTATAGTAATTTCTGCCCTGCAGATCCATTTTTCAGAAGAAATCATTTTTCTAAGAAACTCATAAATTATTTCTGTGCAAAAAGGAAAAACAGGGGGTGTGGATATTAAATCTTATATAATGTAACAACAGGCTTACAAAAATAATTCCCTAAAAACAAACGTTATCTGTGTAGGATTTGTCAGTTGCGGTAAAAATAATCCTTAATCACTACAAGTTAAGACTTCAATGTATTAACGAATTAATGGACGATGCTTGGAAATAAATTTCATTAATTTTGTTTCTCTCCCTCAGTCGATTAGTCTTAAAAATAAGCCAAAAATTTCCGGTAGACCGGTAAAAGGCTACAACAATCGTTACCTCTGTCAGTAATATACTTCTTCCCAAGGATCCATACGGGCTCTTTAGTCCTTGGAAATAGATCTAGTTCAAAAGAAACTCCTTCATACGTAGCACAAGCAATATCCATAACAGGGCCCGCCATGTTTTTCTTTTCATCAGTTTCAGTTTACAAACATCGTCACTTTAGGTCCCAGCTCTCCATGATACGCGGTAATCAGTGGCAGGTGGGGTGGGGTGGGGTAGAAAATTAGTTTGCGCAGGGTGGCTCGATAAAGGCTCGATAGGGTTTTTCAGGGTGGGTACCTACGAAGTTTGACAGAGATTTTTCCTCCATAAGCCGCGAAATCTATGTGAGCGTTATCGAGATATTGTGGGATGAAGTTTTTGAAACTTGGACAGTCTTGACGTTCGGCTTTTATCTACAGAAAACAAAGCGCGTTTGAAATGCAGTTTCAGAAGTTTCAATATTCTTAAAAACGTGTTTAAAAGATCATGGAGATAGCTCCAGCCGATTGCTAGAAAAAAGGATTTAATTAGTATGTATCGAGTTTTTGTAAACATTTTGGTTTACTTAAACAAATAAGCGAATAATTTTAAAACCGCTGGATAGATTTTTTCAAAATTGGATATTCTCAAGAATAACCGTTGTTTTATATGACCTGTGAGTTTCAAGTAAGATCATTGATAACTTGTAAGGCAGCAAAGTAAAATAACGGCTACTGTTAGCCAATTTTTTGTCGGAAATTTCGTGTTTACAACTGAGAGCCTCTCAATATTCAGGATATTGTCTCCAAGTTTCATAGCTAAAATTTCTGCATATTTCAAATGCCTTGTTGGTTACTGCTAATTGCTGTTACAGGGTGTAGTTTCTTCCCTCGAGTCACACAATAAGGCTTGAGAGGGACGACTGGAATTTTGGATAATGAGAAACCACAAGACGTATTAAGACGCTTATAGTCTATCACAGTCCCGTTTCGGGAGATATCCTCGTGGCATACTTTAAATCATACCGTAAATCATATCGGTTTGGGCTGGCTTGTCACAGGACCCGTTCGAAAGGGAAACAAGGATTTTCCGCGTGGAAAGATCACTCACCAATCAGAAATCACTTATCGAGGCAAGTTTCGGATCATTACTAACAGCAGATACATAAAATACTGTAAAAAAAATCAAATATTTCCTTATGTAAATTTTCGCTCTTATATAGCGACTACTGACTTGCACTAGGAGTTCGTACATCCAAGGGTCTTAGATCTGAAGATCTTACATCAAAGGGTTCTTAAATCCAGGGATCTTATATCCACGGGTCTTAAATTCAGGGGTCTTGCATCTAGGGGTTTTAAATCCAGGGGTCTTACGTACAAGGGTCGTACATTTAGGAGTCTTACGTCTGGCGGTCTTACAGTCAGGGGTTTTTCGGTTACGGGTTTTAGATCCAGGAGTCTTACGTAAAGGGGTCATAAATCCAGGGGTCTTACATCCGCGGGTCTTAAATCCAGCTTTCTTATACGTCCAGGGACCAACATCCATTTGCCTCTTTAAAAACGACAAGGAAACTGGGCCGAGTTAGCTTTTGAAAAGGCTTCTTGGATCGTAACTTTCAGGGCGAAAAAAAGTAATGAGCATGCGTGAACTTTTTTGCACAGATCCCCTGGCCGGGTTTGCCCTGCGAGCAGAGGCTACATTTTCGCTGGGTGAGCTGGCGTGCGACAACCGTTCAATTTTCTATCGTACATGCGCGAAATTCGTCACGCGATTCGCGAGCAAAATTAATCGTGAGGTATGTTGTCAAATGGCGCGAGTTTCGCGGGAATTAAAAAATTGCGTTAATTCTGATCTGCTACGCAAGACTCACGTAATGCTCTAAACCGGTCAAGAACAGGAAAAAACCCGTTTTTTAATTTATTCGTCCAGATTTCTGAACGGATTCGAACGGTTGTCGACAGAGGCTACTTTCGCACGACAGCTCACACAGTGAAGATGAAGCCTCTGCTCGCAAAATGGTGGGATTTCAAAAAATTTTTTTGGTCTAATAATAAAGCGTTTCCACTCTTAACCTCGAAAGGACAAGCAATTTGTCTTCAAAAGTTGCAAGCTGTGGTTATAAACAAAGACCACACAAAGGTAACAAGGTTTTTCGAGAAGCAAACGGTCACACCTTTTGAGCTGGTGCATTTCATTCTGTCTCAGTCAGAACTCTGTCAGTGACAAACAAACACAGTCAAACACAGTCAACACACAGAAAATCCCGCCTTGAGCCTGCGATAAGGGATGCGCAGAACGTTCTCGTAATTTGGGAGGCGCTCTTCAGGTAGTGGCGAATGTGTCTCCCCTGTCCCCAGTAACCGTTCCAGAATTCTTTGCGAAAGCTAACTCGGACCAGTTTCCTTCTCGTTTCTTAAGAGGCGAGAGGGAAACTCATTCCGGGTCTGATGCGCAATAGAGAACTGGGCCGAGTTGTTCGAAGGCCGATTAGCGCTTAACCCGGGTTTCTTTTTCTTGTGTTCCAAATCATTTTTTCGGATAATTTTCTGTGCTATTTTTAGAGCTTCCAATCATCAACTTGTAGACAAAAAGAATTAAAGCTGAAATGCTTTTTAAGCTTTCAAATCTGAATTCAAATCTCGCACTAACCCTGGGTTATCTTAACCCACCTTTCTGAGCTCTTGGGTCGAGAATGAAGTTTTCAGCCCCGGCCCGAACATGCGCTGTTCGAGAGATTTATTAACTCAAGGGCGGGAAACTTTCCTCATTAAGTGGCTGCGTAAAAGTTGTCACGGGTGAGCAGGTTACCCTTCACGATAGATAGATAGATAGTTTATTCTTAAAATCGCAGCCAAAAGCTGAATTAGATTAATCGCTACAACAATAAAATCTAATAAAAATATGAGAAAAAATATAAGAAAAATTGCCCCCTCCCCTCCCCCATGGCTTTCAGGTTCGACATCGGCTCAGCTTTTGCGCGACTGTATCCCTTAAGGTGGATTTCCAATGTTTTTACGTGCATACGCACGTAAATTTTACGCGCGTAAATAAAATTGAGACAGGTCAAGTTTAGACGTAAAATTTGAACCTCGCTCAACTTTCACGTTTACGCGTGGCCTCTCATACATGTATTGCCTCTATTTCATTTACGCGCGTAAATTTTACGTGCAATCGCACGGAAAAATAACGCGGCAGAGGGAGTCAACCCTTACTTTCCGAGCCGCTTACGAACCACAAAACAACACACAAAAAAACCCGCCAGCTACGCAGGCTGTAGGCCAGCGGGAACCTAGGTAAAAAAATACAAGAAATTCTAATACTCAGATATTCTTAAACAGGTAACCACTACTGACAGGCACAAATTACCTCTGTGTTCATGGTTATACGATTCGTGCAGTAAAAACGAGGCCACCCCCACATAAAACAGGGTTCATACAAAAAATTGCAACCATTTTTCAAGGACTATACAAGGACCTCATTCCATTTTAAAGAAAACCTACCAGGAATGCAAGTGACAGATTTGTACATAAATGCACATTCCCACTACATGGTAACAGGAGGTTTGAACTGTTTGCTCCACCAGTTTCTCTACATTTTTCAGTATATAACTTCCCTGGGCTATGACTTATATTCCCTTCTGGGCAAACAAAAAGCATTAAAAAAACACTTTCCAGGCCACTACTTTCAAAGTTGAAGAAAATTCAAGGACTTTTCAAGGAGTCACCCCAGAATTCAAGGACTTGTCAAGACTGTGGGTACACTGTAAAAGGAAAATTGAAATAACTTTATTTTCATCTTCAAGAAAATTTCCTTAATGTATCTATTCGTTCTGAACTTGTTTATATATAATCTAGGCATATGTCTCCAAAGATGTCGTTAATTACAACAAAGTCGCAGTTCTAATGAAACAACTGAAACTCTAACTGAAACCTGGCAAACATATGACTTTTACCGCTTTAAAAATAAACCGTTGCACGAATCAATACTCTTGAACTTAATAATCACCTGTGAACGTAGCTGCATTCGCAGGCTATCTTATTCTTAATACAAATACTTTCATAAATATCTTTAATTATTTAGCAAAACATAATTTTCCAACATGAACAATAAATATCTTAATATCGTAACATCTTTTGGTCACTTTTAAATTTGGAAAGTCTCTTCTGAAATATAATTAGTCACCGACTTTGAATCACTATCCGGCGGAAAACTTTACTTTCAAATTTACACCGACTTCAACATAAATATTATATTCCAAAACGCGCTTCGTTATAACGGCTCAGTGACTAATTCTTAAAACGCCCAAACCTTACCTCCTGGATTTGATAAAAATGCCCTAGGGTCAAAGAAAAGCCAAAGCCTTATTTTCTTGAACTAAAACAAAAATAATAAATGAATTCACAAAATAATATACAAAATATTCGTGATCCCATAGATGGAAGTAAATAAATAAACTTCACAAAACCCGGCATTAAATAAGGAGAATGCAAAGTCAGTGGAAACTCAAAACTTAAAAAAGGGGATGAGTACGCAGACACCTTACTGAGCCGTTACGACTGCATATTTTTGGAGAACTGTTTTGTCATTAAATTGCCAATGAAATCCTACGGGCAGAAGAACACAAACGTTGCACAGCCTATATTCAATCAGCGATCAATGAATGTTGAAAAGAACTATGAACTGAGCCACTGACGTGCTCCAGTTTCTAGATGTGGATGTCCAAATTAAAAGAGGGCTTAAATAGAATCTAACAAGATGAATGGATGAAAGGTTACTGCCACTTAAAATTGTTTAACAATACGCGATAAGCTCCGTCGAAATGCAGAAGGGATGCTCGTCCCTTTCTCAGAGAAACGCGGCAAGGAGCACTTCCAGGCAGTTTCCTGACGATTGCTTTAAGCATCGCCACTAACTTAAAAAAGCCAGTTAACTATTCTGCTTTTAAAGCAAACGCAGTGACATATTCCTTTCTGATAACCATGCAAACTTGACGAGGTCTCAACCTCAGCATCTTGGCAACAGCAAAGCTGGTGTAGGCAGCCTCATTTACTTTAATGTCTGATGTTGGATAACTTTAGGTACTGCCAAAAATAAGGAATAAGAACCTATTTTTGAATACCATATATAACTTGTTAATGTTGAAAATGTGAAAAGTCTGTTTAGGTAGTACTGCATGCAAGGACTATCATGCCATACTTACTCATCTAATTTGGAGGGAAATTTAGTACTTCCGTATTAAATTCAACAAAGGTATAAAGTTAACGACCTTTCAAATACGTGGCACAATAAGCTGAACAAACTCAAAGATACAGAAGACGAAAAGGCCATTTTGAGAAGGCGCTTGAGACTGAAAATCCTTAAATAAGAACGACCGAGACCAGTTTTTATGGACCCGCAAGACTGAGCACCCCTTGACCCAAACCCTTGTTTTCACTAAAACCGCTGGACCTAAGGTCTTCCCTTGAGACTGGGTCGGGACTTTTGCTGCCGTTTCCTGGGCGCACCTTAAATAGACCCATAGTGCAATTCGGTACAACATTGACAAGTTCTGACGCGCAAGCTCAAAAACGACCAGTGTTATGTGGCTGGCGAGGTTGCAATTCATGGATTCGCCACCCAAATTTATCTACCGAGCAAACAGGGACAAAAGCTCAAAAATTCAGTTCTGCTGCAATTTCAGTCAGGTGGACCTTAAGCTCTACCTGGCCTGGACTGCCCATTTCTTGAAAAATTCTGGTATGTCGGTAGAATTAGCTATTACCACGCTAGATTTCATAAGGGTGGAGGGGGGGGGGGGGGGGGTTGCAAAATGTAGCGAAGGCTGTCTCGTGCACGAGACGTTAAAATCCAAAAATACCGGCACTTACAATTGGTCTTGTTGCCGTTTTTGTTGGATCACTAGGGAGTTTAAGCAACCGCGTTTTTGAGCGATGCACGTCAACCGGAAGTGAGGTCTTCTCACTATATGTATGCCTTGACGCTAACTAATCTGTATTTCTAAGGTTCTTTTCTCTTATAAAGACGATTTACCCGAGCGTTTGAGCCAAACCACTGCTCAATGATGCAAAAAAGTCCACTTCCGGTTGACGTCCGTCGATCACAAACGCTGTTGCTAAAGCTCCCTACTACCTTTGCTATATCTGTCTAATACATGATAGTACGCGAAAATCTAACACAACATGCTCTAAACGTTTTGTCAATCATTCAGAATTACCTGTAGATGGCCTTCTCAAGGATGGAGCTTTCGGCCTAAAACCACTACATTCTCTTCCTTCTTCAATCCTCAGCTCCGCTGGTTTTTGTACCTCAGAGCCAGGTTGTTTGACTGTATTCACTTTGTGAGCATCTCCATTGGTTTGAATTTGCGACGCTACCAGCCCAGACTGTAATTTCAATGTTGTCTGACTGTCATCCAAAGGGTTTACCGAAGGGTTTACCAATGGCACTCCCAAAGAGGCCATCTGCGCGTTCATGTTAAAGAGTACTTGCGAGTTGACCAAAGGTAACGGTAATCCAAGCAGCTGTGACGTATCTAGCGCTGAGGATTGAGGAATAGCGGCAAGGCCTGCTTGAGAAAGGCCTGCACCGAACACGTTTGGCATTCCTGTTAAAGCTTTTACTTGTAGTGGTAGCATGGAACCCATCGAAGATAACGAACTGGTGTTGGTTACGCATTGCGAGGGCTGTACTGCTGCCCCTGACATGGGCATTCCCAAAGAAATTCCTGCAGACCCACCAACTGGTGGCATGGCTTGTACTGTAGACTGTGAACCGTTTGGAGGGCCTAACTGTGAAGGCTGCAGTGGATACCCTGATGCTTGAATGGCTGCTGCAAGCGGAAGTCCGGATAGCCAATTTAGCTGTGGCATTGCTTGAGAACTGCCACTGGTGACAACTCCTGCTTGGGATGACTGCAACGGGTGAGGCCCCATTCCCGACGCATTATCTACCCCTGGTGCTCCTGGATGACCAATGAGTGAAGAAGTGGGCAGAGTGCCAACGTTTGTTGTTACGCCACTGCCATCGATGGTTTTCATGCTATGTGACGACGGCATTCCTGAGTACATCGCATTCCCTCTTCCTTGTGGTGAGCTCAGCACACCACTAGAGGGTCCAGGAATTATTGGAAGGGGCATTCTACCTAAAGATGCCATTGCCAGTAGGCTCTGATTAAGTAAAGCAACATTTGCAGTATTGAGAAATGGAAGATTTCCGAAAGGAAATAATGGGAAACCTGGCATTGACGGGTAATTATTCACAGCCATGGGCTGCTGGGTTAAAGGCCTGGACTCCACAGCGGACGACTGATGACCGGTTCCCGAGTTTGGTGGTACATCACCACCAGCACATGGAACTGCTGTGTTCTGCGGTAGTTCACGTGTATTCCCAGAAAACAATTCAGTTTGTCCAGTACTTTGAGAGAAAGGAGCAGAGAAGCCCACTGGCAAGGAGCTTGGAAGTGGCTTAACGTAGTTAATGGGCTGATTGGTACGATATGCTGAATTTTGAACTTTCACATCAGCTGATAAATTGCCAACATGTGGCATAGTAGTGGCCGGCTGTCTTACTGCACCTGTGGATGGGAAGGTTGCGAGAGGTGGAGAATTCCCAACATTTGCACTAGAAACGGCAGCATCTTTTTCCTGGACGCTTGCAGCATTTTTGACGCGTTCCACTCCTCCATAACCGTCACTGTTTATAGCACTGCTCATTTTGGGCTTCTCCTGAGTTGGTAATGGCCCATCTTCATAGGACTTCAAGCCAGGCATAATATTGTTCATCAAAGATGGGCTAATGTTTTCAAATTTGGAGGTAACTGGTAAAGGCTGGTTGGAATTTTCACGGAGTTTCATCGCAGATACTTCTGGTTCTATAACTTCCACAGGGTCGTTTGGGGAGGAATCGTCAGGGTCAGCTTTTGCCGTGCTGAGTGAACGCCCATTGCTGATTGCAGAATAATTGACATCAGAGAAAGTAGACACTGGTAGCTCTTTACCAGACACACCGAGCGAAACGTCATGTTTTTCCTCAAAGTTATGAACGTCATTGTTATCAACATCCTTTTTCACACTTCTGGTAGAGTCATGCTCATCCTGAGTTACAAACCCGTCAATAAATGATTTTTGTCTCTTCCTCTTGTCAACAGACACAGGATGGGAGTACTTGCACCGCTTTCCCAGGCAACAATTCTTCCCATAAGGACAAGCTTGTGGGCCGTCATCTGCAGAATACTCAGACAACTGCATTACTGAGTTATGCAGCATTACATCATCTCTTCCACCAAAGTCACAGCTGCTGGCAGGCAATTTATCTCGGTGCTTCTCATTAGGGTCATTGAAAGAGTTCAGGGGGCTCTTAGCCCCTTCGGCTCCACCGCGACCAGAGTTATCCCACTCATCTTCATCGGTCATTGGCACAAATTCATCGGCCTCATTATCGTCCTTATCAGTATCACCCCATTCTTCTTCACTAGCTGAAGCCACAACCCACTCTTCCTCCGCATCACATTGTTCTTCCATCTCCAAAGGGTCCACCACATCATATTCTTGCTCACTCCAAAGGGAATCCCCTGCAGGTGGATAACCACCAGGATCAGTGGAACCACTGTTGCCCACAGACTCCAGTTGAGCACTCTTTCCAATGTGAAGTGTTTCCTTCACTTGTTTCTCCAAGATGCTGATTTCTCTGCCAAGAAAAGAAGAAACAGGTAAGTCAAGTTTTTTTCGTATATCTCAGTCTACCTTCAATGCAACAACTATTTTAACGTCCTTAATCTTTCTTGAGAGGAGGGAGGAGGGAGGAGGGAATAGTGAGAGAGAGTATGCTGAGGCACACATAATGTGAAAAAAGTATGGGCATCAATGCATTTTTTAATCCCTTTGCTATGTTGTTAGTACGTCTAGATGGTCAGAACAATTACAAAGTTTTTTTTGAAATGCTTCAGTTATTTTAACCACTGCTGCCTATTTCTGACAATACAGTCGAACCTCCATGTGCGACTACCTCCTATAAGTAACAGTCTATACAAAACACCAACATTTTTCCAGTCAAAGCCCCTCTATATAATATTAAAAACTCTCGTAAATGACCACCTCTCCCAAGTGACCGTGACCACTCTTTGGGCAGACAGTTTTATAATTTCCATTGTTTTTAACCTCTTGTAAGCGACCGCTTGATGCATGGTGTGACATCTTTGTTTGCAGTATTTTTTTTGCCACTCAGGGTATATCAAGAACACTGAGTAACAACATGGAAGTGCACACATCTTAACTTAGAAAGTGCATGCAATAAATTTTCCTCCAAAATGTAGATGTGTCGTGAACTCTTCTCGGAAGAGATCACCTGTGGGTTGATTCTCGTACTCAACCACCACCTGTAAGCGACGGGAGGACCGGAGGTTTAACTGTATTTGGGTTTTCCGGAAATTTTTATCTCTACCTTTGCTGTTCATCAATTTCTGCTTGCTTTTTACTCAGTTCTAAAGCGATTTTTAGTTGCAGTTCCTCATCTGTTTGATTAGCTGGTTGAAGTTCTGCCAGGAACTGCTGTTTTTCCTGTCTCTTTTGCCAAATGTTTGATGCACAAGGTGTTCTTGAGTCTGTAGCAACTGTTCTGGGATTTTGAAACGACCCTCTCTCAGGCTGCAATACAAAAGCAGATATTGCAAGATTAATAAAAATAACAATTGTCAACCAAGCATCCCAGTTCTTTGATTGATAGCCTGTTCCAGGCGTTCCGCTAGTAGAGCGCGGTGGTCAGTGGGGAGCGAGTTAAATTGTACACCGGCAAAACGGGGCGGAGAGCGAGAGCGAGAGCTCTCTCCCCCTTTCCCCCTCTAGTTTCCCCTCCTTTTCTTTTCGTGAATTTTTCTCCCGTGCTGTACTATCTGAACGCCTGGAACAGGTTATTTGATTGAAAAAAATTAAAATAAAAAAATGATTGATATGAAGTCTGAACTCGTTTAAGTTAGTAGCATTCTTGTTTCATATCATTTTCCGTTTTTTCTTGTTTTCCCTTGTTCACTCTTGGGTAAACAAGACTATCTCATGCTTCAAATATCCTTAATTATTTCTCTCCATTTAAAACTTGTAAATTGCAAAATAGTCTGTCTAAGGGTTACCTGGTGATTGGGGAATTCGGTTGGTTGCTTGATCAGCTGAAAACGTTCAGAATACTTGAGTAGGTCATTCATGGGACCCTGATTTAGAAGTTGAAGCTTTACCTCGATTTTTCCTTCACTCTTTTCTGGATAACTTTACTTCATAGTATGAGCAACTTATATGATGGCTCATGTTTATCAAGTATGTTTAATACCCAAGACCTACCCATTTGGGGCATACGGCTGAGTTATTTCCCATTTCTGGTAAAATTCTGTGATTGCAGGATGGCTTCATTTTTTGTTGAGCATAATTAGTGTGATGTGGCAGTGTTACATCATCTTGTCTCTTGGTGGTCTCTGGTTTAAGAGGGACTTTTTTGATGCCATTTTGGGTTACTGAGCTGGAGGCTACTCTCTGTTGGAAAGTGGTTCTGAAACTATTACTTCTTTCCTGGTTACAGTCTGTTTCTTGGTTTTCCTGTTTCCTTGATTTCTAAAGAGAAAAAATCGTAACTATTTTGCCAAACCAGAATGATAAAATACCTCTAAGATAAGTAATATCACCTGACCAAAACAATATCGGAGATGACCTGACAAACAAGATCTAATAGCCTATGAATTCGTTTTTGTTATGTTAGTAGGTATAGAGTGATTGTACATAAATTTCAATTACAGGTACTGAAACTATTTCTCTCTAACTTTGCATTATATCAATAACATTGACCTGAAGCAATGTTTCACAGAAAAGTTAGGAATTACTTTTGATAGTTAAAAAGGGTGTAATATAAAACAGGTTAAGCTTTTCAGGCTGCCTTATTGGGAGCATTCCAGGAAACTGTGTTAAATAACAAAAAAAAACACTGCAGTATGCATGTTGCAATAAATAAAAATATTGATATGCCAGTTTGTCTCTTGGTAATGTTCCCATTTGCTGCAAGTCTGCCAGTCAAAACTTTTGACAAAATGGGAAAACTGCTTTTATAAATGCACCATTTGCCATGGTGTTAATTTGGAAACAAGCACTTATATCAGGTAAGGCCAGGATTTGGCAGGTTCCTCAATGCCATACACTTATAAACAGAGATCAACACAAGTGTATAACCTGACATTTTCGCCAACCATCGAAATCAGGGGATAAAAGTTAAAAGTCTCATTTAAAGTAACCTTATGTTGACAAGTATGTGGCATATTCAACTTCTCAGAAGGAAAACATGAAACAACATTATGATGCCCTTTGATTAACTCCTCTGAATTCCTATGAAGTAGTTGAAGAATATGGGTAACATAACCCTACTGTTAGAAAGGTAACAACTTGTAGAACCCTTATTACGGAAGCAGTCTTACTTTTCGGTTCCTTTTCTTCCTTGTATTCCTCTTATTGTAAGAAGCATGATCTGTCTGTTCTTTAGTAGAGTCTGTCTCCAAAGTCACAGGTTGATTGGAGCTGTAAAATAAAGTAACATTTCAGTAAAATCAACCGTAAAACTAAACAAACATATGAATGAATTAACAAATACTTGGAAATTGAGCAACAATCCCTTTCTCCCAAGCTTCTTATTCAAAACAAATAACATTTACTTGAAAGTGGGAATTTTTCCAACTCAGAAATGGTTTTATGTTGACTGGATTATTTACCTTTTATCTAGGTAATGGTCTTTCTTCTTGAATGCCTGTGATGAAACAACAAATTGAAAGAGTTTGGACAAAGATCTAGTTAACTCAACAGATAAAAGACAATGGTTTTCATCTTCTGGTGATTTTAACATTTTGTAAATTTTTTCTCCAAAATTGTTTTACAAATAACTAGGACCAAATGTAACAATAATTGAGATAAATCACAGAAAGATGACAATCTTGCAATGGACTCAAAGGCTCTTATGTCTTAGTCTCTTTAAATAGGGTTCAACAGCATAAGGAGAGCCTGTTCAAGAAACCAAAAATTTACCTGGCCATCCTAAAATGCACAAAACGACAAAAATGGTGAATTTGACAAATTTTCATAATCAACATGGAAAAAGGTGATAACCAAGGGAATGTGGCAAAAATGGCATATAACGTGAAAATTCACCAGGGTTTGGTGAACATGGGATGTGAAGAGGGGTCCCTTAGAAGGTGGAAAATTTGACGAAAATGGCGAACTCAGCAGCAGTGAGTAGGGGTCCCTATGGTTCATGTCAAAGCTGCACAACATACCTTTTTTTCTTGTTGTTTTGGATTTTGATTAATTTGAGCTGCTATTTCAGATATTTCCTACAAATAAGAAAAAGAAAACAGAAATAAAAAGTAAATTAATGAATACAAAGCAGAAAAATTACCGATAAGTTGAATAATGTATCATTAAATTCAAACAGCAGCAGAAGGAACATAGAAAAAGAATGGCTCTTACCTTTTCTTTTTTCCACTGTTCACGTTTTAGCTGTTTGTTGCTCTTTAGCTTTGGCTAAAAGGGAATATTGAGAGCCTGAGATTACCTGGATTGAAATTGATACTGACTCACTTCTTATAATTATGTTTGTTGGGTCACGGTTGCACCCCTACCAGTAATGCATTCCACAACCTATAAAAGACTGGCCGCGAGATCATCTTTAAATGATTATCTGTAGCTAACCTGGATACCCCTATGCCACAGACTGGTATCAACGGGAATCCTTCTGCAGCGTAATGAAAACGTTTTGAAAAAACAGCACCATTAAATTCTAAGTCAACTGAAGAACTAGAGGTAATGTACCATAAAGGTAGCATCAAAGAAAGGAAACAATCTGCTCAGCAGCTAAGAGGCTGTTATGGCAACCAGCCAAAGCCGACCTTACAGGACCCATTAACACTGCCACTGAAAAATCCCTGAACCAGTGTGTGGAATGAATGATTACAAAAGAATATAAAAAGAAGGAGGGGAAGAGTAAAAACCTAAAAAGTAAGCTTTTGGCCAAAAGTAAAAAGCAGGAGCATTTTGAAGGTCTGCTGTATCTCACATCTCTATACTGTTTAAAAAACAAAGCCAGAAACTTCAAGAAATCTTACCTTGTTCCCCTTATCTGATTTCTGCTCAGGTTTGTGGCTAGATATGTTCTTCTGTGAAGAAAATCAAATAAAATGTTGTAATGATAAATGAGGTTATAAGTGCTTGTTTATACAAGTAAACAGTTTTTGATGACTTGTTGTTACTCACATTACAAAATTTTTGTTTGTTTGCCTCTCTTTGTTCTTTAAGACTTGCAAAACTTGTGAACTGGGCCATCTGTTGAAAAAAGAAAGAAACCACACCAAAAACCTCAGGATTGCAAGAGAAACACAATTTTACAACTACCAGAGATTTTAAGGATGACATATCTGATAATATTTGATCAAATTAATTGCTATAGATGGTAAGGGCATGTTCTTCTTCGACTGATTGCATTTTTTGTGTGAGACACAATCTTGGAAGAATGATACATTATAAACTGACATAACTTTGAAGCGTAGTCACTCAGCTTATATTATTTACAATTGCCATATCCAAAGGTACAATCTTATGGTATACATAAAATGGTAACAAATGATATTATAAGCCCCAACCAGTGTTCCATGTTGTGTTAATGACCCGACAAAGAAGGCTTCCTGACCCGACAGATGACGACAAATTAGCATGTGGTCTTGGTGACCCCTCAGATGGTCCATATGACCCCCTGCTTGAAAGAATTAACTGACATGCTGCCCAGCATGTGACTATCTAAATAAAAGCCAATGAGTGGCACTGTTTTCTGCAGAGTGGGATGTCACTGGGCTGGACCAATATGCAAGATCTTAAAATGAGGAAGGCAGAAGAACAGAACTTCCTTTGACCTGCAAATGGCTATACCTTGTCATAGCTTAGGTTACCAATAGAAATGGCCGTCTTGTCTCCATGGCCAGGATGGGATGTAAAAACAGTTTGCTTGATGACTGTCACTAAGATTTGAATAGCTGTAATATTCTTTTAGTTTTATTTCCCCTATGTTTCCTATGAAAATAGCCAGGAGGACATGCTCATACTAGCCAGGGAAAATTCCTGGTCCTCGACCCTTGGAGACTGCCCAGCAACAAGTTCTTTGTGCTAAATACTTTGCCACAAAAATAATGCTCCTTTTCTATGTTTAGGTAAGCATGACTAAATACCTCTTCTTCTGTGAACTGATATTTCTCTTCTTGCTCCTACAATGATAAATCAATACAGAGCAACAATTGTCACCAATATTTGAGGATCAGAAACTTACATTGCAAAAAAATTGCTGAAGAGGGACATGGTCAGAACGCACTAGATGACAAGCATTGGGGCAACAAATCGCTTCATGTATACTGAAGAATTTTTGTGAAGATATTTGACTTTGCAACAGCATTTTGTTGCTGCAACAAGTCACAAAATCAAATCTGCAAGAATTTGTCAGACTTGTTGTGGCAACAAAATTATGTTGCAGAGACCAAGATTTGCACAAAAATTCTCCAGTAGACACAAAGCTATTTGTTATTGCGACACGTTGCGTAACTTGTTGCAGCAACTTAATGCCCGACCTCTTCACACAGAGTGATTTGCCGCCATGTCATGTTGCAGCGACTCGTTGCCTAGAGCGTTAGCACGTACATCTGAAAAATGTGGTCTGGTCTATGAGCTAGTTTCTTCAACAGAGGAACAATGGCCAACTCGTTCTCTGTAAACCAACGTTGAAATAGGGAGAATGAGGTACCAGTAACTAAGATAAAATGATTTTTAGTTTAAACATTCTAAACTTCTTTCTCATGATATATTTTTTAACATCTTTACTCAACTTGCCATAATACCCTGACAATACGACAGTGACTTCATCAATTAGAACTTAAATGTACCTTTGCCAGCGAGGCTAGAAAATCATCATCCTCATCACCTCCACTAAAAAGGAGACAATTCAGACAAAAAATTGTTACATTAACTATTTTTGATTTTAAATTATTCTGATGGCAGAAAGTTATCAACAAGAGCTCGAGTTACCTGAGTTTCAGTTAACCAAGTAAAAATGACTGATAGGTGATGGGGTGAAATCCAAGGTAGAGTGGACTTACAACGTAGGGTGAGTTAACAGGGAGTTTGAAGTATCTGAGTTTGAGTTATCAGGGTTATTTATGGCAAAGTTTAAGACGTTGTAAATAATGCCCTATCTAACTGTTAAACTATTTTAAAATTAGTTTTATTTGTAAATCAATCTTTATCCCTTTTCTTAGTTTTTATAAAGTAGGTCATTTTTTTTGTCATTTTGTCATCTTGTCATTTATGATTTGCAGGGCACCACTGTAAACTGCTAATGCAAGTGGGCTCCCTGGATAAACATTATTATTGTCATTATTATTACTGTATTTCGGTTAACTCTTCATGTAATATTGTACAAAGTGTTTTTTTTTTCCTTGGTGACCAATGTTTTATGTGTTGCAACCATTATTTGAGGTTGCCAAAAGGAGATCAAGTTGAGCTTGGAGGTTGGTATATTACTGGTACACATACCTTCCACATTTCTTGCATCTACATCTAACTACAATAAAATAAGAAAGAAAATACATGCAGTTACTGCTGATAATAAATAAGAGAAAAATACATTAGGTTCATTTCCATCTTGTATGGTGTAAAAATATAATATAACAGAGTATATGTGCATAGAGCCAGCTAAACGTTACAAAAGTTTAAGAAGATATTAATAATTCACAGAGGATATACTCATACATGTACAGAGTAAGAGAAAAATTTTCCCATCTACTTGTCCTACGGACAAGCACTATAATTATCAAATTTGGTTGTCTGAAATCCAAGAGTTCTTGTCCAAAAAGTTTGGCTCGAAACTCAAAACTCAAAAACAATCAGGTATTTCATGTTTCTAATCACCTTATTACCCTCATAAATTGTTTTTGACTTAAACCTAAAATGGAACTCCTAAAAACAAAAATGAAATGACTGTGGGATGGCAAAGTTAAAAGGAATATTAAACCTTATTTTGTCAGGTAAAAGGTTTGCTTTTATGACTTTTAAGATTAATTTGAATATTCTACTGTAATTTGAAGGCAATTTTCAGCTTTTTCTTTATTTTTTCTTATTAAAAATGCACTTGTCCCACGGACAAGTCATGTTAAAGGTTTACATGTCTGAACTAAATTTCTACCTGTCCTAGACAATCGCACATAAGTTTTGGCACACCCTGCATCATGTACCTAACAACCTAAGTACATGTACCCAAGTGTCTTCTACTGATTGGGTACTTTTGGCAGAGATTACATTGTGTATCAAAATAAAATGGCATCAACCTTTATAAATTAATAATGCCATTACTCAAGCTTAATTTGCATAGTTTTATAATACTACTTTTGACACTAATTTACCTTTAGCCATGATTTCATCTCTGAACAAAAAGAAGAAAAACTGAAAAACAACAACAACAAAAAAGGTTTATGGTGCATTTTTTGTACGAGGACAATATTTCAAAAAACACTTTTAAGTAGAAGCATTAAATACATCTCCTGATCTTCTAATTTCAACATTTTGTAACCAGGGTTTGCACATGTACAGATTTTTGGATCCAAAATTCAAGACTTTTTCCAGACTTTTTCCAAAACAAGACTTTATTTTTCTGGACTCAAGGTTATCGAATAGGTAATCAATAGAGACCTTGAACAACACAGCAGGAACCAAGCTTTTTTCATGATGTATTGGAAATGTACGGTAACAAAGGTGCAGTGCGAACGTAAGAGAGTTATGAAATTTCTCTTTCTATGATTAAATTCTTAGCTGCGGGCAAGATTGAATGGGATTTGACTACCAGAAAAAAATTCACTTATTAAGCACTTGCTGTAACTTTGAAAAAAAAAACACACAATTTTTACCATTTTTCCAGACTTTATCTTTATCTTCCAGTCTTTTTCCAGGTCTGAAAAGTTGCTTTGCAAACTTAAGACTTTTTCAAGAATTCAAGACTGTATGAACCCTGTGTATAGGACTGTCAAAAAACACTATACTAGAGCATACTGTTCATTAGCCTACTTTTAAGCACACCCTCACAGATTTTTTTCCGGTACCTGACAAAGGAATATGCATTTCTTATCAAAAATGAAGTAAAATCATACAAACTTTTTCTGGAGGCTAACAAAGACTAAAAAATGCCAATTCATGGGAAATGAGGAATACTGATAAGCCAGTCATGGTTTTTAACAGGAGTATTGAAGAAATTAATAGAGAGAGAGAGAGGCTCATAAGCGGTCACAGAAAATACAGGACTTGAAAGAAGGATTAGCTGAAATTAAGTTTTTTTACCATGCTCTGCAATATCTGCTCAAAAATGGTTATTAACTTGGTTAAAACATTGGATGGCTGGTTGTGTTTGTTGTCTAGCCATTATTTTTAGTGTCTGTTATATAGTTCTATTACAAGGCTTATCCTTTCAGAGGTCCATTAGTTTTCATGTGCTATTACTGAACACTATTTGACTAACAAAGAATGGATCGTGTCCATGCAAACATGAGTTTGACCAGATACAATTTTATTAACCGGCGCCTGCCCAGTTGTTTTTCCAAACCCTGACATATAACTCAGCTGTCTTTCCAGCTATACAGTATTGCACAATTAACAATGTCTAAAGCTGTGACATACATCTCTCCAGAGATCCATATCATCGTCGTCATCGTAATCATCCTCCTCATCACTGTCTTCTTCACCTTAGCAAACAAAAGCACCAAGTGTCATTCATAGTGAATGTTGGATCTTTAGTTCCAAACGCTGGAGTAAACAATGACTTACAAAATCAACACATTAATGGGCAGACACACTACTTAGAACATATTTTTCTTTTTTTGTATACAGTCGACTCCCGGTAACTCGAACCCTCTATAACTCGAACCTCCCGCTAACTCGAATCAATTTTCATTTCCCTTCAGATCGTTTTCTATATAATTTTACCCTCGATAACTCGAACTGTTTTCTATTTCCCTTGAAGGTTCGAGTTATCGGGATTCGACTGTAGTTACTTTACCATTAAGTTCATAGTGTAAGGTAATGTAATGTATTTGTAATTTATTGCAATGTAATATCATGCATTGCCATGTAACATTAGTATTGTAACGCTGTGCAGGATTCAATAAAAGTTTGAAAAGTAACAAAAAAACATTATAAGAAAAAAGAGGGCCATCACTTAAAAAGTATTGAATAAAAAAAATTATTCTTACAACTTTTGACAATCCTCCATAGGGACCAATACAGGACACATATTGCTAACAACAGCATGAATACCACATGCTTACAACTGACACTGTTAGCTGCTTGCAATACTCGAGCTAGCAAGTGGATAGATGCCGGTCCAGAGCTCAAGTACCGCCCAACTGGATTTTTACGCAGTAGTCCCAAGGCCATGCTTGTAAATAGCCAAATGGTTTGCCTATTGCCAGTTCGGATTCTAACCCTAATCCTGTTACCGGTACTTAATATTTGCTTTAACAGTTGTTTGATTGGCCTTACTAACATTTGCACCATAAACACTGTTAAGGGGAATTATAATCATCATCATCATCATTTTTATTGATATACATGACTGAATTATGAGTGCAATATCATATCATAACAGATATTCCATCCCAAACAAGTGGTTGAAAGGAGACTTTTAAGCCTAAGTGTATTTGACGGCTGCATGTAATGGAGCAGATACAAATAAATACCGCTAATTAACAATTATTATTATTTTGTTTACACGTATGAAAGAATGTATATCAATGCCTTAAATGCTTATAACCAATATCTGTATACATGTGAGTCATTATACCTTTCCATTTTTTGAAAAGGGTGTACAATCATCCACTTCAGTGCAGATTACACTACTGACAGCTTTAACTGCAGTGTACCTGCCCACTTCACTTTCACCTTGTCAAAATTAGAGAAGCTCTTTTGCGTTGTGCCTGGTTCCTCAAGCATTCCAATACATGGTTTTCTGCAGTGACCCGCTTATGAAATATGAACTCTTACCCATTAATCGCCTGTATGCATGTCCCAGTTCTTGGAATTTCTGCGTTGATGAAGGATCATCTGGATTCTGCAGACACAAGAATGACCAGAGCATAAAATGCAACATCAACCATTTACATTTTCTTGCTGGTGACCAAGAAAATTGCAAAACAGGAGTGCAAAAACAAAATATTTGTGGGTGACAAGGGGAGCCTGCGATCCAAATCTCCAGATTGCTATTACGCATGCACAGCACACATGTGGTCGCCTTTGATTAGACTTCCACTAAGGATGAATGGAATGCACAGAAGACAATCTGATCATGTGCATTTGGACCTTGTTTCCTTGTAATCTGATCATGCATGTTTTAACTATCTATCGTGTAAAACTTATGCAAAGCATACCATTGGAGCCACAACATTTTGACCTTCGATGGGTGTTGCCCCCACTCTATAACCTTCGCTTATTACTAGAACTAGAAATACGTGAATCGCAGAAACTCGCGAGGCTTAGGGGACAACCAACTTTAAAAGCCCTTAGTACTGGTTGGGAGAGAAATGGAGTACATTGTGTAAGTGGGGAGAGCAGTTTCAGCACTGGCTCTGATATTGGAGGGTGAGATATGCTTAATCTCCTTTTGGTTGGAGTAAATTTGAAGACAGTGCTCTGGTGTTAAAAGGGATCTTCGAGGATTTAAATGGGGTGGCTGTTGCAAGCATATAGAAAAGTAATTTGATGAGTGCCTTGGGATGAGCAATTTTTATTTATTGCCCCTTCCCCATGGATGAGTGTCCAAAGCGGAAGGGTTTGGACAAAAAGGTGAGTTGTCGTAGGAAACTGCTCATCCATAGGGAGGTCGTATAATCGTTAGTCCTCTTGCAGATAAATAATATGGCACTTAAACTAATAATATTTAAAATAAAAAGATTCCACAGTACCTTATCAGGGTGACACTTAAGAGCTTTTTGTCTGTAGGCACTCTTGATTTCAGCTGAAAAAGAGAAGGATATTTCACTTGATTCATGACAGATAAGCTTTTAACAGACTAAAGAGCCAGAATGAAGGCAGCTGTTTTGCTCGCAGGTTGTCTGTTTCATATGAAAGTAATTTCGCGCTTGCTGTTCAGAATTCCTTGATAATTCGCTGCTTTCAACTGAGAAAAGCATGATTCTAAACATAAGACTGTAAACTTGCAATAGCTAGTATAACATGCATTCCGCTACATGATGACTGAAAAGGTGTGAAAACCACACACTAAATCCAGCACTCTCTCTCGTTTATCGGGTAACATACCTTCTGTTGCGTTAAAATCCAAACCCAAAACCTCGTAGCACTCGTCCAAAGTCTTTCCCATGATGCCAGGGATGTAAAAATGTCAAAATGTGTCGTTTACGAGTTCATACTAGCACAAACCATTTTTGTGATGTTTCGCTGTCGAGATGAGCACATGACGAGTTCCCGCCGGAAAAATTGACCTCGACCCCGTGTAAACAGACCACAGGATCACCAATCACTAGCGGCCCCTATTATGAGCGACAGCCATCAACCGGAAGTAAAATTTTTAGCCGAATCGTTTCTATGAATCGAAGAAGAGACACTTTGCAATCCAAACTCGGTAAAGCGGCCTCACTTCCAGTTAACCTACGTTGCTAAAATGAGGGTAAGGGTAACACTAAGGGTGAGGGTGGAGGGTGAGGGTCACCCTCATCCCCGCCGTCACCAGTTACCCTCAACCTTGGTGTTACCCTTACCCTTGTTTTAGCAACGCCGCCAGTTAACACGTCGTTTCAAAATCCTCTTGGTCAGAATGTACGTCCTTTAGTACTCAAAAAAAAAATTCTTATTTACTTGAGTTAAATGAATATTATCTATATGTAAAGCCATGAAGCACAGAATTTTAAGATTTGTGCCAATTATATAGCTTCTGTGGAAGGAAAAAGGTGCGCCAAAAATGCAAGGACAAAAGGAGAGAGGGTGACTGGGGAGTTTTCACCCCAACTCCCCCCCCCCCCCCACCTTTTGCTCCATCCCCTTTGCCCATTGCTACAGTAGGATGGCAATACGTCACACAATGTAGTTCACAATTCAGCGGTTGACAGATTTTTAATGAAATTGTGTCCAAGCCTTACACCCCTTGGGACATCCCTGGCAAAACATCTTTCAGTAATTGCTCCTGATCACTGTGTATCGACAGTAATAAGAATTACATCAAACTTTGAAACTTTATTAACTGCACCCTAAACTTTGTCTTTCTATATATTTGTGTGAGTTTTTACAAAGGATTTGTGTATTGTTCAATGAGAATGTATATTAAGTGCTATGGAGAAACCATTTTACACAAATAAACCTACCTATAATAAAAGAAATATTTCCAAGAAAATTCAGCATAAGACTAAACTAACATAGAAAAAAAGTTTACTTTCCTAAACAATTTTAATACAAATGTATTCAGTTTTAGATTTTTAAATATTTACAGTGCCCCCATTACATAGGTCCCTCAAAGTTTCTGACTGGGGTGAAAAGTCCCAGCAACTTTTCCAGGAAAGACTATGACAGGAAATAATTTAGAATATAAATATACAAAATTTCAATGCAGTCTTGAGCCTGTAAAAAAACCATGACATATTTTGCTGGCTATAAAACGTTTACTGTCTAGCTACCAAAACCAATGAAATTTGGTTAAGGACACAGAAATTATTTTAAAAAGGAAAGCTTATCGAAATATTGATCCACCTAAACCACTTCTTCAGCAATTCCAGTTCTAATATCTTTGGAGCACAGAAACTCTATCCAGTTTCTTAGGAATCCCTTGTTATACTGATGTGTCCACAGGACTTCCCAAAATGACTTCTTTCTCAAAGATCTTCTCCATTCATCACCAGTTATGTTGAAACTGATGAACAGAAGCTGCTGTACCAGAAGTGAACTCATTCCAAAAATAAACAGAATCGTGTACCAACAGGCAACAAAAACAACTGCGGACCTGAAAAGGAATAGTGGATGTTAAAATGTACTCATCAACAGTGTATAAAAAATGAAACACACAGATGAATACCATAAAGTCAGCAGTAAGCCTCTCCTAAAAACCATAAACTATTCAGGGTATGTTTACATGGAGGTGGGGACCCCACGTAGGTGAGGTAATCTGCTTAGGTGGGGTAACCTGCCTGTTAATGTAATCTCTCATATTAATTTGATCTCATTCACACAAAAGGTGGGGTGACCATATGAGAGATTATATGGACAGGCGGGTAATTAGCCCTGCCTAAGTGGTTTACTTCACCTAACTGGGGTCCTCCACCTCTACGTAAACAGCCTCTAAGTTAACGAAATATTATTTTCTTATGGTGCAGGTTTAGCCATGTATCCCAAAGCTTTCGATGTATGGGTAATTCTTTATTGAACTTGATCAAGACTAAATATTGCTTCAATTGGTCATTTTCATAATATTTATTCTACAATAAATAAGGCCAATTCATGTCGCAAAATTTTACTGAAATTAAGGCAAAATATCACCGTGCCCTGTGCACGCAAGCAGCTAGAGAACTTTTATAATGACCACCCTCATCACTAATAAGGTATGATGAGCGGCTAAAAATGGCATTATCCAAGGAAGCTTACCTGGAATCTGAATAGACATCTGAACAATCCAAATGGAGAATCTTTCCACTCAAAGATTTACAGATAGTGAAAAAGGAAAGGTAGACACCCCAGAGACCAGTGACAATAAATAAGAAGATGGCTCCAAGAAATGCCCGATGGTTGTGTTGGCCAATGCAGCAATTTGTCCTGCAATGATACAAGATTTTTAAAACACTTTTACCCAAAAGCTCCTCTTGAATATCACATGTTATATCATCACAAAGATCCCAATCACAGCTAAAAGCTCTCGTCATCTATTTCGTTGTTTTTCATTTACATTTTCTCTTCTCCCAGTACTCCAAGAAACACTCCCAGGAGTCTAGGAGTCTCCTTTTGTTTACAAAAAGTTACTTTTTTTATTTTTCCCAACTGATTTGGAAAATACTAAAACAAGTAAAAAATCCCCCTCAGGGTCGGTTCACAGCATTAGATAAATACCTTGATGCTTCGCGTCTAGGTATATATCCACCACTATTCACCTCCCCTTCGGGGGATAGTTGTATAATATTTCAATCACATAATATCACTCACCAGACACAATGGTGATCAGATCTTGGAACACAGTAGCCACAAATCCTATTCAAAAGAAGAGTCACATTACACTATGCATTGTCAAGTATAAAAAATTTTTATTAAGTGTATAAAACTACCATTCAACTTAATCATTATTTTGCCACATTACAGCATCTAAGGTTCCATGGTCTTAGTCAGGATCAGCAGGAAAAAAATCCAAACCAAACAAAAACAAAAAGCACATAGGAGTTACCAACTTAAAGCATAGTTGGACAGATAATTATGTGGCAGTAGTTATTTTAGGACATGGAAAACACATCTGTTTTTCTTCTTCAGAGAGAATAAGAAAGTATGTTTAGTTGTTTACACCAGTGAGCAATCTTGGGACACAGCTAGTAAGGTCAAATAGATGTGAAGGCTGAGAATGAGTGGCCAGCTGAGATGCCACGTAAATTTGACAAGTAGGACATAATACAGTGGAACCTTGATATAACGAAGGGCCAAGGGACTGGCAAAATTTGTTTGCTATAATGAGGTTTTGTTATTTCGAGGTTCTTTTTGATATTTTTTCCTGTTACTGGGCTAGAGAAAATCATTCGTTACATTGAGGTTCCACTGTAATTATGGTTTTCACAGTCAACTATCACCATGCTGACAACTTACTTTAGTGCGCACCACTATAATACAGACAGTAGCTAAATCTCTAGCAAAAGTAAATTAAAGATGTTTGATCAAAATAAACTCCTGCTATAGAGTAAAGAAGTTTGCCATCACAAAAATTCAAATGTGTGAAATTATGGGATTAGTTGGCATATTCAGAAAGAACAAAACGAAAAAGCCCTCTTGCCAAAAATCAGCCCGTCAATGCAAATTGGTGGGGAGATATAACCATGGTTATGCTTTGATGATTCCATACAAACCCTTCAAATATTGGCTTGGATCATAACACTTATGATCAAAGCCTAGTATGGGAGTATTTATGTGGAGTCACTAGAGCATAACAATGCTTATATCTCCCCAGCAATTTACTCTAAGAGGCTGATTTTTACCACATGACCAATTTTTTTCATCTCATTCTTTCTGGATATGCTAACCAACCCCATAATTTTTGCGATGTCACCAATTCTCTTCTCTATTATGGGATCTCGTTATTAACGACACTAACTTGTGGACTCTAGGGTGTCCATGTTAGTTAGTGCTGCTTGCACTCTACCTGCAGTGTTTTGCTCTAATGAATGGCCCCTCAGTACATAAACAGCATGTTAGGTCCTTCAAACTTGAAGACATGTGGTTTGGATCATTCTGGGATGATGATTTAGAAATCAGAGAATGAGAGACAAGGAGCCTTCTTGAAAAGATAACACGCAGGTATAGTAGTAATACAACACAAAAGCCGGCAGAAATAATTGCAGAGATGGTATAAGAATAGAAAGGAGCAACATTCAGAAGATATAGGTAAAAAATACCAATTAGAGATGATAAAACCCAGCTTACAAAGAACCAAGTCCTCTTTCGTCGGTTCAGCGCAGAGAAAGTATATATAAGAATAAATACAGGTAGGTAGACCATTGCTAGAACAGTGAAAACAAGTCCATAACTTGCAAAGTGAAGAGAAACAATCAAAACTAAAACAGGAGCAATGATTCCGAGCTCTATTTTGAGAGCACCATTAAACCAAGGAATGCGAATGCGATCAGAAATAACCGAGAATACTGCAGCCACTTTCTCTCTTGGAACTCTGTTTCCTTTAAGGCACTGATCGACAGCGTTGTCCAACTCATCACATTCACAGCAAAATGCAAGGATATGGGATCTTCGGCCATGAAGGTTTTGGAACTCACAACAACACAACGGAGAGGCATCCGATGTCATTTTTACAGATAACTTTATAATTTAGCGTTGTCTGCTTCACTTCTGTGTTCCAATGCAGCCTTCATTATTGAAACCAGACGCAACACCGAGAGAAAACCCACACAATATATAAGTTTGGCTTTGAGCCACCCTCCATCTTTCTTGAGCCCGCGTTCTTTGAGCCAGAACTCAAAAAGTCGTTCATATATCACCCCCTAGAGTCTCCCAAAGCGTTTTGGGGAGAAAAAAGGGTTTTACCTTGGCATGAAGACCTGTGAAGTTTTTCTTTGTTTTCTAGCGATTATTTTCCTTGGCTCTATTTTGTTGACTTCTCAGTGGCTTCTTTGTATTCATTGTTTTACGCCACTCGTGAGTTTCACAGGTTTTTACTCCGAGGATGAGCCAGAAAAAAAAAAAAACCTTTTAGGATATTTTAGATTTTTTAGCAATTTATTTTACGTACGTATTGCAAGCAGGCAAGAAACATTTCGACACCTACTTATCTCACCCTCAAACTCGTTCCCAGCGCATTTCTCTCTTCAACCACGCTATCCTAAAATGCCCTGGTTAAAAGATTACATCTTTGTCACTACATTTGTTCAGACCATACCGACACACAGCAGAGCCGTGACAACAAAAAGAGCCGGCCTGACAACGAGTAAGTGGTCCCTCCGTTTCTCGAGCGGACTACGCGGGCGAGCGCGAAAATGGCCTCCCGGGGCGCGAGGTGACACGGGGAAAGAATACTGTGCGATTGGCACTTTCCTCGCGGGTGGCGATTTAACTATATGTCGCTTTCTCTACTATTTTCAAGGAAATTGAGGAACATCTCGTAGACTCAGTATTCCCCACAAAAGAAAAAGTGAAGATAAATTCACTTGCGCAAGTACAACAAAATCAAGGGAGCGGGCAAAACGGCTTTAACATCTTGAAAACAAAAGAGCTGTTGTGGCAAAGTTAAGCCGGGATTATAAACGCCTCAAAACAACGTGGACAGAGGGCGCACCGACTCAACCCTAGGGAGGATTATAGGACTCCTGTCTCATGGCACAGATATCGCTAAGGGCTGTGTTTAAAAAGGGGTTAAAAGCAGAGGGCGAGAAATAAAAAGCATTCTAAGAAATCTCCTGCATTACAATCAAGATAACCATAGCTCTCAATTGGGTTTCTCTTTTAGGATTTTTAGGGGTCAACTAAAGCTACGGCCACGGCTAGATTGCTCCCTGAGGGGGCCGGCGACCTCCTCCACGCGCCCTTTGACAGGGGAATCCCCCACCCCACCGGACTCTCAACAAACAAATGGAGACCCTTGAAATCTCTTGCTTGTTCCAGGCATTTAGGTAGTGGAAGGTGAAGCGAAAAGAAGAGCGGAGGAAAAAAAAGGCTAGAGAGAGGAGGGAACTTTCTGTAGCCCTTCCTCCTCCTCCCTAACTGTTTTTCCTGCTCACATTTCTTTGCGCGTCCCCCATTTGCTGAACTCTTGAGAAAGGATATGAAATCTCTGGAAACGAGATGGGAGGGGCCTCCAAGAAACCCACTGTAGAGTATTCTCCTCCGAAACAACATTACATTCCTGATTATTTTCTCGAACCTCTGCTAGCAAGCTCTCCCAGGGGAACGGGGTGGGGGGTGGCGGGAGCTAGAGCACAGCGGAGAGCTTGCCCGCAGGCTACCCTACATTTCCAACCAATTTCCTTTTTTCCTGTAGGTTCGGTCCGTTTTTTACACTAGTTGTGTTTCTGCCCAAGCCAAAGATAGAAAATCACGGTGTCATTCAAAATAAACGCTCATGACAATCATTTTCATGCTTTATCATGTCAGAATGCTCACAGGAAGTGTACAAGAGTAGATTATAAATTTTACACATAAAAGAAGAAACAAATAAAATTGCTTAAATTTACAAGTCCATAAAATTCTATACAGACTCAAATATTAACTGTTAAGTTTTTTTTTTTCTACAGCCAGGCAGGGGTGACCTTTGGCTTCAAGTTAAGAGGAACATATTTTACATTGGTATTACATTATTTAAATATTAATTTTGGTACTGTCAGTATAAATACATTATCCAGTACCACACTTTATGTGTTCTAAAGGATTCAATTTTAACCCCTGTCAAAATGATTTTTGTCACTAATTTCTCGCCAGTGCTTTTCTATTCCAGTACAAAAGTGTATCGATAACGCTGAAATGCACCTAGTAGCCTTAAAAATGTTGAATTTTGCTCTGAACAATTCATATACATTGGAAAATAAAACTGCCCTTTTAGTCCTAAAAACAGCCCAATCTCATAAAGGTGAATAAGAAAAGCCAGCCACACTAAGAAGAACCTGTTTGAATGTAAGAAAAGGGTAGGTAAAATTTTAATGAAATAAATAACATTTCAAATATGGTTCAACACTTTCTTTGTGTGGAAAGGGTGAAGGTATTACCAGGCTAACTTAACTTTAAACAATAAGAAATAATGCACATGATCTGCTATTAATGATAAGTCAGTGAATTGCTGTGTTGTAATTAGAAAAGATTTGTACATAGCAGCGGGTGGAAAAGTAAAATTTAAGACTCAAACACGATGGCAAACTGGTGCACTTTCAAAATACATGCTAAAACATTCATGACTCAATTTGTGACACTATTTACAAGACAAATTTGAACTTCTGTTTGTTTTGTACAAGGACAACTCCCAATGCAGCCTCTATAGACACAAATGTTCATTGACTCTCCTTCAGGAGACTGGCGTGGAAATAGATGCCACAGCTCCGTCAACAACTGCAGGGCCTGGATTTGAAGATGTCCCCGAGGCACTGGAGCTAGCTGCTGCAGAATTTCTCTGGGCGTGGGAGGGTATGAGGGTAGAGGCCAGAGACGGTTTCACTGATAACTCTGTGAGAGGAGACAACAAAAAATGGTAAACTGTGGGCTCACCCCATCTGAGGGAATCTGGGATCTGGAGTCTGGAATCTGGAATCAGGGACACTTTGTTTGGGGATTGTGGAATGCTGGACTTTGGAATCCAAACTCCAAGACTGTCTTGGATCCCTTACATGTGGTGGCCTTACATTACGAATCTCAGCATTTTAGAAAGATCGAAGGAGACTCAGCTTGCAGGGTAAACTTACAGGGAGAGCATGAGAGAAACCTGAATGTAACAGTGCTGTATTAAAATTTATTGACAGCCCTCTTCGAATTACAATATTATTTAATAGATACAAAAGTGGTAGTTGTTGCCTATATTACCCTGAGTCATGTCAGGTCAACCATACCCCCATAGATTCCATCAATGAACTGATTATCAAAATTATTTGAAAAGTGAATCCGTGTAGAAACATAATTATTTCAACACTGTAAGAGAACTTTTGCGGGTTTGTATGGCTATATAATATCCTCTACGTGTAAAAGTTGTGAACTTTAAGTCAAAGAAATACATGTATGTACAGTGAAAGTAAGCAACATCATTGGAAGTATTGATGGCCTGTCTGACCATTTCCAAAAATAATTGAGGGTTTGTTGTACGATACACTATTAAAATAGACATTTGGCAATTGCCATGCCTAGTGACTACTTTAGTTATCTTATATGAAGCAGCCTTAAGTTCAGCAGCCAGTTTCCAAAGCCTCTAAGGTAACTGCAATATACAAGTTCCACTGTATTTTAGACTGCAGTATTGAGGTATTTCAGATATTTTAGATACAATTACAAAGCACAGACATAAATTTCCTACCAGGCTGATTACCGGAATGTGTTTATCATACCTTGAGGGGTAAAATTAAAAAGTGGAGGTAGCTCACGCCCATTTGGAAGTTTGGTATTGGGGTCACGCAGTTCATCAAAGAAGCAGTGAGCACATGACTCAACAGGTATGAGTCTTGTTGATGGTGTATACTCTAGTAATCTACTACAGAGGTTTATTGCTTCTGGTGGAGTCTTGGGTCTAAACACCTGCAAATCAAAATTAATAACTTATTATCTGGCCCCAGTTGTTCAAATGTAGGATAGCACTATCTACCGGATAAAACACTAACCAGGGGATAAATATTAGTGAAACCAATTGCACTATCCACTGGATGGAGATTAATTTATCCTGTGGATAGCATTATCTACTTTTTGCACAACTGGACCCTCCTGGTTAAGTTTCCCTAACAGTTTTTTTTTTTACTTTCCTTTGACATGAATTGAGAAAAATGCCTCAGAAACTGTACTGCAATTGAACAATTATTCAATTCCAAACTAAAGCACTGAGAAGCACAAAATTAATTTTTGAATGGGAGATTTGGTGACCCATAGGGGGGACCAGGAAATTTGTGCCATATCGGCAGACACATATATCAAAGTGGGAATTTTTCTCAGCTGTTCCCTGTGTTCAGAGGGGTTTTCTTATACCCTCTTTGTGTTTCCTTCATTCCTCAATCCATCTTTGACCCAGTTATCTGATACCACGTAAGAAAATCCTCTGGTTTACCTTGCTCCAGGGATGTGGCTTAATCTGTGGGAATTTAAATTCTGTGTAATGTGGATTCATTTCTTTAATCTGTTCCCTAGTTGGTGTTCCTAACACTTTAATTATTTCAACAAGCTGATCTACTCCACTGGCACCAGGGAAGATGGGTTGTCCCAGAAGAAGCTCTGCCAACACGCAACCAGCAGACCAGACATCTGAAAAAGAAACAAGATAAATCCAGCTAAGAGAATAACAAGCTGAAAGGAGAATCCCATGGGGAGATCTAGAAATGATTTAAGTCTACATATCTCAAGATGGATTCTGCTTCATTAAATTTATAAATCCCTTTAACCCCTAAGTTCAACATACAGATTCTATAGACTAGCCTCCATACATTTCTTGAAAAATTTTTTGAGAGAATTTGTTAAAGGATCAAAGCATATTTCCCTTTATGATCATTTTATTACTTCTCATAACCGTTCTACTTGATTATATACTGATATTTTTAGGAGAAAATTGATGTTGGTCGTTCTTTTCTGGCAATTTGTGTTTTGATTTTGGTTGCTATTTGTGTTTTGATAAAGATTTGAAAATTATTATCTGCTAAATTGGATTTAAATCAAAAGAATGAGGCCATTCTCCAAATTTGTCTCTTGATAAAGATCAGGCCCAGGTTGTTCAAACCTTGGATAGCACTATCCAACATTTGAACAACCAGGGTCAGAAAATTATAACCTGGGTAAGAAAAAAGGAGATAGGAAAACTAGGTTATAATTCACCTTTTTTTTAACACCGCCAAAAGAAATTTTCCTGGTGCAATGATATCTAAGACAAGCCACAATCAACACTGACACTCATTCTATAACCCTTTAAACCCCAATATTCACTTGCAAATTCTCCATACTGATCTCCATACATTTTCCTAAAGACATTTTCCCTCTGGTGATAAGGGTTCTCAACAAGAGCTGGTGGCTGGTGAAATTCACCGCCTATTTTACGTGAACTTGCTGCATACTTTTCTTTGGAAATTACCCCCTCAAAAGCCAAAATTTAATTATGTCTGTGTTCTGTTCAAACACTCTAATTTTTTCTCCAGAATGCTGGAAATGCACTTTAAGGGGCCCAGATTTCAAAATTTTTTCAGGGGGAAAAACATAGGTAGATTCTCAATTTCCTTTGTCTCCTAGCCCTAATTATTCATGAATTAGGGTTTGGAGACAAAGGAAATAAAAAATCAACCAAGGCTAAAAAATTTTAACCTGCATTTTTAAAAGGCCCTTTTAGGGGGGCTTATTTTTGGAGGGGCTTATCTACGGAGGGAAATTTGAGCTTTCAAAATTGATTGGGCTAGCCTTATAGTTGGAAGGAAAATTACCATTTTTACTTTGTTTTACCTTGTATTTGGGGGCAATTTCCAAGTACAAGCCCCCGGGGAAAGGGGGGGGGGGGCAATTTCACAGAGGGTTTTTTGTGTTACGAGATTGGGGGGTTTATATTTGGAGGGGCTTATACATGGAGGGGCTTATTTTCAGAATTTTACAGTATATTTAGACAAGTATGTACCGTACCTATATCAGGAGTATAGTCAGTGGCTCCAAATATAAGCTCTGGTGCACGGTAATATCTTGAGCAGATGTAAGAAACATTAGGCTCTCCTTTCACTAACACTTTTGCACTGAAATAAAGAAGCAAATTATGGATCTTGAATCTCTGCAATAGAAGCTGTGACTTTTATCAAGTGCTGCTAATTCGGCAATCTGAAAGGTGTATTTTTGCAAAGATAACGTTAGCTGTTATCCTAGATCCAAAGCTGAATTCCAAGAATGCAGAAGTTGGATGAAGGAGGAGGAGGGGGAGGGGGAGGGGGAGGCAAGGCGCTCTTATAAGTTTGACTAAAAGGTTCTCTCAGGCGTTGGAATTAAGTGATAATGCACTTCACAGCAATTTCATGTGAATATGAGTATAAATAAACAAAAACTGCAAGTGAGTCATCAAAGCCTTTGGGTAAATTCATGTTTCTCACTAGTTTATTAGAAATTTTATTCTCATGTACTATTAACAGTTGGTCCGGGATAGGGTAGGGACCCTGTGCCTAGTCAAGGATAAAGAAGCAGGATTGCAGTTGAACATGGTCTGGTGAAGGTTAAGGGTTTCAGAGACCCAGAGACCCCATCTCCGCCTAAAGATACCTTGCGTTTACCCCTGGTTCCATACCCAAACCAAACTGATGTATTATACCAAGCAAGCCCTTACCTGCCAAAGTCACAGAGTTTTAACACTGCTGTCTCTGGATCAAGGAGCAAATTCTGGGGTTTGATGTCACGATGGCATATACCAACAGAGTGAATGTAGGCCAGGGAACGAAACATTTGGTACATGTAAAGCTGACAAAGAAAAATACACACATCAAGGCCATACAGGGAGACAGACTATCACCCCTCAGACTCCACGACATTTGGCAAAAACATTCACCACGTGCATTGACCATTTGAAGGGCCACTGTGGTTGACCTTTTTGGACTACCACTTACACTCCAAGTACATGGCTCCTTCCTAAAGAAGATTTGTACTACTCTTAAAATATTTAAGAAAAAGGAAAAAAACAAATAATAGAGATCAATAGGTTGGGGCAACTTGTTTTTAGATGCAGTGCAGCCATTTTGTCTACCAAAACATTGCTGCAACATGAAATCTGAACATGGCTTTCTTCCTTAGACAAGCAAACTGCTATGTATAGGGTAACTAACCAGTGAAAAAGAAGTCAATCAAGTTATTTGAAAACCATCATATATCAAAGAAATTTCCATAGACTTTAATCCTTTGGCTACAAATGAACAACCTATGACACTCCAATGAAGACATTGGCAATAGAAGAAAAAATTTTGAAAAGATGTTTTGCTTGCCCCATTTTTTATTTGAACAGAACCTGTAAATAATGCCATAGAATAATATTATTGTAAGTTAGCAAGTATGCCCATGGTTCAGAAAGACAATTCAAGGCCGAAGTTGCACTTTATTTTTGTGACAGGCATCTTCCCCTTGGGTCTAGAAATGAGGTTAACAAAGCTGCAGTTCATGTCTGTTCATTGTAGTTTGTCAATATTATCTTGGTGCATCTTTGCTGTATTATATCAACAAAAATGTCTAAATTTCTACCAATAAAGGAACTTAAGATACAGAGGAACCCTGCCTTACAGCCATCTCAGTAATTCGGTCACCTTGTTACTCATTTCCTTATAAAAAACCCTGATTAATGTGGTCACCTGTTGAAATGGCCAACAGCCACATTTTAAAATCCCAAACAGTGGAGTCTCAAATAATTTCACCCCGTTAATAAGGCCACTTCTTTGAAATTTAGAAAATTAAAATGCCTGTAACCTGTCAATTTTATTGACCTAGTACTCTAAGCCTGTTCTTGTACTGTTTTTAGACTACAGTAAACAAAGTGCACTTGTTGTGATTTTATAGCCAAATTTTAAAAGTGTTTTATTTAAGTAGTGTTTTCAATAAAAATCTTATTACTGTTTGCGATATCTACTTTCTGGTTGTTGATAAATGACAACAGTTGTGTTAGAAATGAGAATGAGATGTTTGGTGTATTTGTCATTACGGCCCTCAAGGCATGAAATTTGAGCCTGCCTCGATAATACGGCCACCCCGTTAATACAGGCAAATTTTTTGGACCTACTGGTCACTGTATTAACAGGGTTCCACTGTATATTAATTTTGTTGACAGCACTTGAGGCGAATTTTTCACTAGTGATAGTGTCAAGGTCTTAATGACTCTTAAGGGTGCTCAAACATGGAGTCACATATATGTTAGTGAAGCAGTAACCAGCAGAATGTCACCATTTTTTCATACAAATCATATGCTGCACACTCTAGATTTTTCAGGTTCATGGCACTGGCCATGGGCTATGTTCAATTTTCCTTTGAGCACAATCCTGGCTTAAAATCTAGTGAAATTCAGATTGTTGGAGGCACACACAGTAGCGGATGAATAATCCAATTACTATGCTTTTTCGGGTGCATTGTTTTTTTTTCCAATATTATATTACCTTAATATACAGTATAGGAATGGTCTGTTTTGCTTTGCTGTAATGTCTTGCTACTCTATAAACAGTCTCTGGGACAAAGTCAAGAACCAGATTTAAATAGATTTCTTCTTTCTATAAAAGAGAACATAAAATAAAATGATTAAATATGGCTAGAAGTCTTTTTCACAAAAGCATCAGCAAGGCAAAAACCTGACATTTTTGAAAGCTTACAATCAATCTGGATCAAGGAATGACCCTGACCTTGGGATCGTGGCCAAGATAAGGGTGACTGTTAGCTGTCAAAAATATAGAAGTTAATACAATGTTTTGCCTTTCTGACACTATTGCTGAAAATAATTTGCCACTTCTATGAATTTAGTGGATGAATAAGATAAGCAATGATAAATTTTAACCCTTCCAGAAGTAATAGTGGCAGACCCTCTTCCTCTAGAAATTTCCAATTACCTTCTATGGGGTAGGTATGAATATTTTCCAGGCCCCAGTTGTATAAAAGGTGGACAAAGCTCTTCACTGGATAATGCAATCGGTTTCAGCAATACTTATTCGCTGGTTTGTGATTGAATTGAGTATCAATGTATTAAGCATGAAAGTACTAACTGTGGACACTGTTTTTTTTTTTAAGTCTCCAACTGGAAATGGGACTGCCATTTCACGTGGTTTTACGTTGAAGGTATAGCTCCTCTGACAATGGTTCTTAAGGACAGCAACAAATCTTGGGTGTGAGAGGACACTTAAAGCCAAATATATCCATACCACATAAACAAAATACAATTTGGGTTTTTACAGAAAGATATATAATACAGCTTTTGTCCATTTGAGACAAAGAGGATGTTTCTTGAGGATAGCCTGAGTGCTCCGTTGCTAATCACCTTCTGGTTCTCCCAAGATCTTGAGAAAGGAAAAGCCTCTATGAGGAAAGTCAATAAAGTATGTATGTATGTAAAGGACTGTGATTGACCACCTCACAATGGGAATTATTCAGCTAGATTCTGATTGGTTGCGATAAAAAGTGAAGAGTTGCGTGACAGAAACCTCACGCATGTAAGAGTAAAATTTAATGTGTATGACAGAAATCTTCTCTTACAATATTCTTTGAACATCCAATATTATCTTTTTTTATAACAAGTGTCTTCAGGGCTCCAAAAATCCACTAGCCCGACTCCCGGGGCTAGCGAAAGTTTTTGTTTGCCAAGGGAAAAAATACTTTCCTAGCGCAATGGGCTAGAAAGGCACTTAAAAGCCCAGTTGTTGAATTAACTGGCAAGATCTGCATTTAAATATTTAGAAAAACAGGTTTCTTATAAAAATAATTACATAAAAAGTCAGTACTGTATTACAACCTATGCCACGAAGGAGTCAAAAGCGAGTACATCAGTGAGTACGCAAAGAGAATATTTGCAAGGTGTTCTATGTGGACAGGAGAAGTCTGGGAACCACTTTGGTCCTTAGGACATGCACAAAGAGGCACGCACATGTAGCACGTGGGAAGTTACGAATGTATTTTGTTTTGTTTCTTTCAGTGAACCTCTTGAACTTTGGCTCCACACAGGAAAAGAAAGTGGATGGTGTTGCTGAAGATCAGTGTAAGTGGAGTACCGATGGGCCAGCTGCTGCAGATGAAATTCAGACCAAAAACAAGAAGTATGATACCCAGTAAAACCTTTGTTTCTTCCACAGTGGAAAACAAAATAGCTGTGGGTGGAGTATGACCAGGAAAAGGGTGTAATGTCTTGCCAAACGTAGCGCAAATATCCATCCTTAGCTGATAAATTTTAAGACTGGCTCACAATACAAATAAGTACTGGGCTAGAGCTCTCAGGCTTCAGGCTAGTAAAGTAGGAATGCTAGCTAGCCCACGGCTAGAAAGACTTCAAAAAATTTTTTCGAGCCCTGGTCTTCAAAAGTGAAATTCAATGGACTTCCAACCAACTTGAGAAAACTCAACCAGGGAATTTTGGAAAACCAGTTACAAAGAAATAAATAGAGGACTATCTGACACAAAGAAGTAAAAAAGGTACAGGCACTTGAGACGGCAGCAGAGTCTATTTTCCTGGCAAGAAAATTCTATCAGATAAATCAGTTTCTTTGCCAAATGATCATGGCTCACTCCTTTCTTCATTGTGGTCAAACATCCCTACAGAAAGCTTAATCGCAAAGTTTTCCCCGTTCGACTTACAGTCATTGCACAACACTTTGAGATCAACAAATAAAAGTAAAACTGTCGTGCAAATTACAGTTCAGTGGCTGAGGAAGATTAAAGAAAACATGCTGAGAGAACCACCAGGAAAGCTTGGGAAAGATTTTATGTCGATAGCCACAGCTGCATTGAAAAATCCAACCTTACAAAATCAATTCCAACATCTCTTTCTAAACAGGAGTAGACAATTCAAGAATGGGTCTGGGATAACATGTGCTCTTCTTGAAATAAGACTCAAGTTGTCTCCTTTCAACCAAGACATAGCCTGCACCACAAATGAAACTAAACTCTGGTTAAGTCCATCTGCGAAACAGTGCTGGAATCCTTGTTATGGGCCCTAACCTGCGAACCAGGATTTGAGTACGCTCTAAGATGAACCTGTTAAAAAAGCCTTTGTGGATTTGTCCATCAGGATGAAAGGAAATTGGGAAAAGGACTTTCAGTAATTTGTTGAGTCTGTTCAGGGCCCAGAACAAGGATCTTGGTGTGGCTTCACAGGTGTTACTAAGCGAGTTTCAATATATTATGTCTGCAACGCAAGCTACCTAGGTGTAGACACAAGTGGTACACATTTTAAAATTTATCCAAAATTAAATACCCTGAGGGTGAGGCTCTAATATGATTAGCAACAGCATTGCGCAGATTTCCCTTTTCCTTGAGCAACTGGGAAATAGGAGACATCTGCACACAGGTTATCTGAATAACCAGGTGAGTGCCTCACTCTAGACTTTAAAGAGTAAATAAGTACTCTTGGGCTTATAATCTGAGCACTCACAGTGCTTTACTATGTAATGTTGATGTAATAAAGAGAAAAAAATTCTCCAAAACAGTGGTACCTAATGGTCAAAGGGATGTAGGAAAAAAAAGGCATCCAAGAGAATTTAAAAATGTCAAGTCTAAAAATGTTTAACAATTTTTGTCCCTGCTATAGCCATGTAGTATTGGTAATGTAAATAACATCACTTTTTAGATTTTTCCAATTTTCTAATTAAAAATATCATAAAATTCAGTCTCCTATTAAACCACAGTTAACGTCTGCTTCAAACGAGAAAACCAGTACAATATTATTTATGTTATAAACTTACATTATTTACCGTACATAGTCTACGATAGTAATTGAAAAATCGATTTTGTACAAGGGCAGGATTGAACTTGATGGGAACAACCCCATTACTGTCATTATAATAGCAACGTTTCTCTCAGTACCAAATTTGCCCCTAGTTTTTTCAACTTTTATTTGAAACGAAGTATTTACATAATATCTTTCCCTTTGGATTTGACATTCTGTCCATAAGAATTAAGAAATGTTCCCTATAATTTGCAGTGAACAGGCAGATGAAAAATTAACATGAAGACTGAAAAACTGACCACGGATTCGTGGGGCAAAGGGCATTTTTTAGAATCTTAAAATATATCAGTTTTTCTGTTTTAGGGAAATATAATGTTACAAAGACATAAGTGGCAAAGATACCACTTCAGCCCGCTCGACAAATGTGATGTCAGAAAGATTTTAAATCCTTTCTAGATCACACCGGACTAAGAAAAAATTTCAACGAAGCAAAAAATTTGGCTATCCTGAAATTACAACAAATCCGATGGTTTCCAAAGAAAAAAAAATTCGTCTTAAAAATTTCCATCCAGGTGAAGCTAACTAAAATCTCAGATGTGACCGAAAGAAAAAAGTGAAAGTATATCCGTTTCTTTGTGGTGAAAGTTATGTTGCCTAAAATAGCTAAATTTGTTTTCACCTCAGAAGGAGTGTACATTTAAACAAAAAAAATAATACATTTCGAGCGACACTTCCTTCGATCTTGTTTCCACGTCGTTAATACAATCATGTAGGCAGTTGGTCTCATATACTACAGTGAATAGAATGCTAGTTTTACTGAATTAAAGCAATCAGTGTTCGTACACCCACGTAGGCCGTTCAACAAACAACATGAAATAACCGGCCTTTAGCAGGCTCAATTCAACTGATGCAAAACGACATCGCAATATTCAAGCATCGATCTCAAAATCTCATTACGTCTTTTTTCAAATATCAATAAGAGAGAGAGTAACTAACCTTTTCGCCGCTGGAATAAAAGAACCATCGTAACCTGACAATATTGCAGTGGTCTAATTTTCTCATGATTTGCAGCTCACGATTCTGAAAGAAAAGTTTAATGTTGCCAGTATTGAAGCGAATTTCGGCATTACGAAAACGAAAACGTCACACCGAAACGGGCATACATATATATATTGTGGTCAGTCTAAAAAGCAAAAGCAAAAATACCTTAAAACGTTTGTCTTGCAAGACTTTCTTTATAGCCACAAGCTCCGAAGAATCACACATCCGTGCCTGATATACAACTCCGAAAGAACCATTCCCAATAACTTTCGTGTCAGTATAACTGATCTCTTGCGTCCGATCGGGCAGGGAGCCTGTAGTTGCAACGACGGTTGTTACTTTGCTTCCATCTTTATCGCCTAAAAAACGAACAGGACAGTCATATTTGCCCATCATCATTCCTCTACTATGTTCTACACCCACACTATCGGCGGTTTTCCAGCCCTAAACACCTTGAATATTACCTATTGGTAATGAAATGTAAAAGTGTATACTCACGACTTATTTTCACTCCTCCAAAATTTGGCGTATGCGACTTATTTGTTTCGGCAAACGATGTCGTTCTAGGTCTATGACCGCTCATTGTTGTAAAATGTTTGATGTACGATAAAACTGACGGATCACCGGACCATTACATCTCTGTCGTCAGCTTATATTCAACATGGAGAGTTGCTTTCAAGTCACCTTACGCCGACAAGTGATTTTCCTGAATGGTTCTGAAAATGCACGCTCCTCCGGTCATTTAGGGCTAAATTAAATTCAGTTTGCTTCCGGAGGTTCCGTAGACGATGCCAGGACAAAGATCAAATCGGTCAAAGAGGGACAACAGAGGTTTTAAGCAACGGAAAACACAGCCAAAGACAAATGACACTCAAATCACAATGGCGCTTGCTACTGCAGGCATGTGCCGTTCTGGGGGCCCCCAACGAAGTTTGTTCAATTTGTTAGCCAATAGTAACGGTGACGAAACAATCACGAAGTATCGGCGACGCTTTCCGAAGCTCGACTAAATTTTGGTAGTGAAAGTATTAGGCAGAAAGTTTGCAGTTTTAAGCTCTACATAGACAGATTTAGTTTAGTGGTCATAGTTTTTCACTGGACCAGTTAAAAGCTCATCAAGATCAGATATAGCTTATATTTGGCTGATAAAATTTTGTGAACGAAGATTAACCGAACATGTCGTATTTCCTTGGTCAGCGGCCTTTCTCGCACAAAACCGCGGGAATTCAAGATGGCGGTCGAGTGAGCTGCTTGTAGAGTTTCGTTTTTTCTGCAAGTGTTGTTTGAGGCAAATAAATTTATTTATCCTTCTTTTCTTTATTAACAGGCTAGAAGACGATGAAGCTGAAAATACAATGTCAATACTTGTCGGTGAGTGTTTTTTTCTTTTGGAAGGCAGGCTTGCGTTGTATGCGCGCGGCTTCGCAGCTGCGCGTTTAAAGGCTTTATACATAATTTTATGCAGGTTGAGAGTCTGGCCTGGCAGGCACAAAGCTGATGTGATCTGTCAACCCACACTCACAGGGGTGCATGTAAAAGGATTAGCTCTTGGGCTGATCTTCCGTGGATTTCAAAGGACCTTAAGAGGTCCCACACAAGGGCTGAGATCAAGGAATGCCTATATATGACAAACGGAAATACTTTCCAGAAAAAATCTCAAGATCGGGCCAAGAAGAGCCCAGGATTAATAAAACCCTTAACTTTGATCTTAAAGAAAAACCAAAAAGATTCTGGTCTTATATTAAAAATAAAAGGCAGGTTTAAATTTGATTTCCGCCTTTATGGATCAGTCAATTCCAGCTGCGCCGAGCCCGCCCCTCCAACCCCCCGGCCTACTGTAGGGTATTTGCCCGCCTTGTAAGTCCCGGGGGTGGGGCACACTAAGGTTTCATGGTATCAAGGACAAAGCATTGGAATGGATAAAGTCTTGGTTGACCAACAGAACACAAACTATCATCAGTAGTGGACAGATCAATCTCCAAGGCAGTAGCTGTGATGTCTGGAGTACCCCAAGGAACCATACTTGGTCCTCTAATGTTCCTTTAATAACACACAGGAGGATCTGGAATGCACACTTAGGTTATTTGCAGACGATGATCTACTATGTATATCACAGAATCACTTGTGAGACTGACACCATGGCTTTGCAGTGTGATCTTGACAAACTCGGATGATGGGCACAAAGTTGGCAAGTTTGGGGAGCAAGGGTGGCGCAGTGGTGAGAGCGCTCGCCTCCCACCAATGTGGCCTGGGTTCGAATCCTGGCGTCGACGCCATATGTGGGTTGAGTTTGTTGTTGGTTCTCTCCCTTGCTCCGAGAGGTTTTTCTCCGGGTACTCTGGTTTTCCCCTCTCCTTAAAAACCAACACTTTCAAATTGCAATTCGATCTGGAATGCACGGACACGTTTCAACGAGTTCTTATAAACTCCTTAGTGATCCGTGGGTAAACAAATTACAACAAATTACAACAAATGGTTTTTTAATCCCTCTAAGTGTTACAAAATGTCAGTTTACTGCTCTAGATCACCAGTCCTAAAATGCTACAAGCCATTTAACCAGGTTCTTTCATTTGTTCAGCAACATCCCTACCTTGGAATCCTGTGATCTAATGATTTGCAGTGGAATTTGCATAATCACAAGATTGTGAAAAAAGCTAATTCAACCCCTTGTTTTGTCAAACACAATCTGCTATGTCACACTCGTCAGATCTCATTTAGAATTTGCCTCTGCTGCATGGGATCCCTACGGGCAAGATCAAATAGACAAGATTGAAGCAGTCCAGAGACGAGCAGTACGATTCATCGAAAACATTACCACTGGAATTCGAGTGTATCGTAAACGCTGCATTCGCTGTCCTTAGAACCACTGAAGGGGAGAAGGAAAATCCATTGTCTTTGTGCATTCTACCAAGCTTACAACAACATAATCACCTTACCAGTTCCTCATTACCACCAGCAATCGATGCGTGCAACAAGAAGCCAGTTGACGTATATCAGACCCTGCACTTGTGATGACTATTGCCTCTATAGCTTCTTTCCACGGACTATAAAAGATTGGAACATAATCCCCCTGCTATTAGGGTAGAAAATTATTTTAATTTTTGTTACTACCTTAGCTATAATTCTTAAGTTGATGTTACATTGCTTTTTTTAAAATTTTTATTTATCTCTTTTCGATGCGAAAGCATTAAGGAGTATACCACATTACCAGTAGATGTAGAAGTCAAGTTCACTTTAATTTTTTCTTTTTCATTGTGTTTACATTTTAGCTACAGATTGTCATCTTGGGTACATGGAAAAAGATCAAGTTCGAGGGAATGACTCACTCGTAACATTCGAGGAAATACTGCAAATAGCAAAGGACAAAGATGTAAGTTCTCTTTTGCAAAAACGTTTATTCTTTTCCCATGTAAAAATTGACTGATATTCTGACTGCGTTGAGGTTGATTGCCCTGATTGAGCTTTATATATCAACCTTCTCTTTTCCCTGTCATGATCACATGGTGGAATAGTGATTGGAAAGTTTTTGTAGCCATTTGCTTCCAGAGCCACTCCCTGAAGTATTTTAGGGAGTGTGCTGCTGGTTCTCTTGTTCTACTAAGGCTCATTCTTCTGCCATGGGCATCTTGATAGTGTGAAAATGTGGTTATATTGAGACATCCATGACTTGAGAATGAGCCTAGACTTATTTCAGACTAGAAAACTTTTTTAGATTTATCATGGGATGACCCTTAGGCTCTTTAAGAAAATCAAATGCATCCTGTGCTCTCTACCTTTGAAGTACAGGGTGCCCAGCATATTGTTTTCGTGAAATACTAAGATGCTCTAGTTGTCTAAAAGCAAAAGTAAAGCCAGGGCCAGGTGCAGATAGAGGACAGCTCTTATTTTCCACCCCAATTTGAATTATAAGGAGAATGGTCATGAATAGAGGCTCAGACTATTTCTGGGATAATTTTAGGTGCCCGATATAACGATAGATCGTATCTGAAGGTCACTTCACACAATTATGTAACGTGAGATTTTGTAAATTAAGATGCCCTTTTTTGTCAGTTTAGCAAGGTTTGGACTCACGGTGTTGTCAAGAACAAGTTAGTTCTATTAAAGGGGCTTTAAGAGACATCTGTGGATTTGTTCTCAATCAAAACCGACAAATGTCAGTCATGGCAATCATTACCAATTATTACCAATCATTATGTGCATATTACCCAAAATTTGTTAAAGAATAGAATAAAAACAGAAAACTTGTAGTAAACGATACAGTAGATTGTTTTTGATTTAAGATTAATCTCAATTTTTTACAGATTTTTAAATATGTAGAATTAATATCTCAGGCTGTGAAATTTTGGTCCTGGGGCAAGTGACATATTTTGAGGCATTGTTCTCCTTTATATACCCAGCATGCATGTCAGAGTTCAACATCATTTGGGAATGATTAAAAAGTTAATCCATGCTGTTTCAACATTCAACACTCTTTTTGCATGTTACATCTTGTCCAATTTGTTAAATGTTGGTGAACTTTTCTGAAGTTATATTCTAAAGGACTGTATCGTGGTTTAAAAAAGAATTAGAAAGTCGTTGTCTCGTGCTTACTTCCTCCACCAGGGTGAAAAGAAAGGGAGTTTTACAGCTTGCCATTTGGGCAAACTGAAGCTCGCATGTAATAGCCCAAAAGTCATTTCAACTACCTGTAGCATGATGAGCAGGTTTGATTACAGTTCTTTGTGATTTGATTTCCCCAAAAAACTTCAATTGCCCATCAGGCAACTTGAAAACAGAGCACACTAACCCAATAGCAAAATCCACTAGACCTAGGCTATGAGACACTACTTTCTTTGCACACTGTCCACAAAACGTGAAATAAGGAAGTTTCACGTCATTGTTATGCAATGACGGCAAGGAAATAAATGTACAAAAGAAGCGTGATGCATGTGTAAAACCGTTGTTTTGCCAATCCAAACCTGTTTCTTTCCGGTTCTTGTTGCTGTCATTGTTGCTTCGTAGACTAGTTGACCCACCAGCTTCCCGTCTAAATGATCTCACTTGGAAAGCCTGTCTATTGTCAATTCTGACAAATGAGAATGTAATAATTTTATTTAGTTTATTTAAGAGAGGTATGGAAGAGGAGTTATTAAAGGCAGAGGCCACAACAAAGCGGGGCGGAGTTAAGAACAATGCCTCAAAATATGTAGTTGTTTCAGTCAACCCTATCCACATGGTCTTCTGACCAAAAGCTGCTCAAAGAGGCAAATTTTGTACTTTTTAACCAAGCATGGAGGCCACTAGTTTTATCCAATGCACAGAAATTACACCTCGTTTCAAAGCTGAAAGCACATAGAAGTTGTCAAAATTTTGTCAAGTTTGGGGTGATATGCACTTTAAGTAAACATAACTAAATAACTAATGCTTGTCCACCAAATGATCTCAAAACTCCTTGCACCAAAATAATGCGGTGCTCTAGCGGCGCCTGGTGGCCCCTGGTACCCAGTTTGTATCCTTGGGCAACTAGGAAATCTTAGCTTTTTTCTTAAAATCCAATGCAGGGGCCCGTTTCTCGAAAGTCCCGGTAACTTTACGGGCCCGAAATCAAATATTCAAATCGAAATATAAAGAATAAGAGTTCCTGGCTACCTTCCATTTTGTTTCATTAACTACAGTTTTAAGATGCAAAACTATTGAAATTTCGATCTTTTTTCTTAAAAGACCGCGTGTCAATTATCGCTGGACACCCAAGATTTCACAGGCTCAGAGCATTGACCTCCCTTCAATTTTCCTTACGGCAAAGCTTTGACCAAAAGCTTGTATGCATGAAGTTATGTTGGAGGGCTAATCAAAGCAATAAGAAATAATAATATTCATTTTGTTATTTTGGCTTTTCTTTTTCAACAGGTTGATTTTATTCTTCTTGGAGGGGATCTTTTTCATGAAAACAAACCGTCACGAAAAACCTTACACAACACATTGGCTTTATTGAGGAAATACTGCATGGGTGACAAACCTTGCCAGTTAGAATTTCTTAGTGACCAGTCCTTGAACTTCTCCAATTCTCGGTTAGTATGATTTGTCAACAAAGTTGGAACAAGGCTTTGTTCTAAGAAAATAACATCAAAGGGAGCTCACTGCTCTGAACCTGTTAAATCCAGGGTGCCTAGCATATGAAAAAACTGAGGTTTTCTAGCCACCCAAGACCAAAATTAGGACACCAGGCAGGGATCACAGGAAACTACTAGAGCACCGGCCTGTGGAATTGTCCTTTTTTGCATTTGAATAGGCCAGTTTCAAATTATTAAAATTCATACTTGGCTCCAAGGCTAAGGGGAATAAAGCAACAGAATTGCGATGCAATTTTGTTTGTTCAAATTATTAAAATTCATACTTGGCTCCAAGGCTAAGGGGAATAAAGCAACAGAATTGTGATGCAATTTTGTTTGTTCAAATTATTAAAATTCATACTTGGCTCCAAGGCTAAGGGGAATAAAACAACAGAATTGTGATGCAATTTTGTTTGTTCAAATTATTAAAATTCATACTTGGCTCCAAGGCTAAGGGGAATAAAACAACAGAATTGTGATGCAATTTTGTTTGTTCAAATTATTAAAATTCATACTTGGCTCCAAGGCTAAGGGGAATAAAACAACAGAATTGCGATGCAATTTTGTTTGTTCAAATTATTAAAATTCATACTTGGCTCCAAGGCTAAGGGGAATAAAGCAACAGAATTGTGATGCAATTTTGTTTGTTCAAATTATTAAAATTCATACTTGGCTCCAAGGCTAAGGGGAATAAAACAACAGAATTGTGATGCAATTTTGTTTGTTCAAATTATTAAAATTCATACTTGGCTCCAAGGCTAAGGGGAATAAAACAACAGAATTGTGATGCAATTTTGTTTGTTCAAATTATTAAAATTCATACTTGGCTCCAAGGCTAAGGGGAATAAAACAACAGAATTGTGATGCAATTTTGTTTGTTCAAATTATTAAAATTCATACTTGGCTCCAAGGCTAAGGGGAATAAAACAACAGAATTGTGATGCAATTTTGTTTGTTTTATTCTTCTCACCCTTGGCACCAAGTATGAATTTTAATAATTCAAAACTCCCCATTTGCAATTCCTGTTTTGACTTTGTAATTAAAATATTATTAATATTAGTATCTGTTTTCTTTTATCAGTTTTCCTGTGGTAAATTATGAGGATCCTAACCTTAACATATCCATTCCAGTCTTCTCAATTCATGGAAATCACGATGATCCAGCTGGGGTGAGAATTAGTAGTATACTCTAAAAGATTCTTAAATGTTCTTGAAGATAAACATCTACTAAACCATCCTCTGATTGAGGATAAAAAAGGATAAAGTACCTTTTTTGAAGTAATTAGCTATAGGGTTACTGTTAGAGTAATAGTAAGTTAACCCCAAAAGCGACTAATACCAATTTTCTAATCTCCTAACAGTATCAATACATAATCAAAAGAATAGGTTTGGAGAATTAATAATGTGATCATGTAAGGGAAACTTGATCTTTTATCAAATTCTTTCAGCACATTCTGTAAGGAAATGTATGGAGATCAGTCTGGAGAATCTGTATATGGATATTGAGTCTCAAAGGGTTAATAGCTGAGGCCCAGGATCCTTGTGATAAGTAGTCTGAGCATAATGTTTTGGGCCCAAGTATAGTCTTGCACAGGAGTTGTTATATCAGTGATAATACATACCTGTATGTCACTGAAGCTAGCATTTAACATTATGTGCTAAAAATGTCTTGTTTAGGATGGAAACCTTTGTGCACTGGACTTACTTAGTGTCTGTGGGTTTGTCAACTACTTTGGTAGAGCGGCATCTATTGATGACATCACAGTGTCACCCATCTTGATTCAGAAAGAACGAGTAAAGCTGGCCCTTTATGGTTTAGGATCTATCAGAGATGAGCGTCTTCACCGAACCTTTCTGAATGGGAATGTGAAAATGCTCAGGCCCAAGGAAAATCCCGATTCCTGGTGCAATGTATTTGTGCTTCATCAAAATAGGTAAACACGAATTTTAAAAACAGTCAAACCTGCATTAAGCGTCTCCTTCTATTAAGCTGTCACTTTCTTAAGTTCAGAAACTTGTGTCCCTTAATTATACAGGACAGCTTTATTTCAAAGGTCTAAATAAAGTGTTTTTTTTTTTACTGGACAAATATTTAAGTAGGTTTCTTTTTAGTCTCCCACAGGGTCAGGATTCAAACTTCCAGCAGCACCAAATTGTTTCAATGCTTTTTTTCTTGATCTCCCCTGTTATTAGTTTCACTTAAAAGTCCATTGCTTTTTAATAACTTAATATATTTCCATTTTGTAATCATCAGGGTAAAGCATAGTGCAACAAACTACATTCCAGAGAAGTTCCTCAGCAACTTCCTTAACCTTGTGATTTGGGGACATGAGCACGAGTGTATTATAGATCCCAAAAATTCAGATGACCCAGACCTAGATTTTTACATCAGTCAACCTGGCTCCAGTGTGGCAACTTCACTCTGTGAAGGAGAAGCAAAAACTAAGTAAGTGTTGGATAGCAGGTTACGTTTAAAATGGTAACAGCCATACAAGCATTGGAACTGGTATATTTGGAACAATAAAAATATTATTTACTTACTTATGGGACATCCAACGGGGCATTTTGTTAGGCATTAATAATGTCAGGGGCACCCAATGAGAATATAGTTCAAAACCACTTAATAAACATAACATTGTTAAATGTATTTTAGTATTTAAACGTTAGATATAGGCATATTTTCATCCCCTAAAAATTTTTCATCTGTTTAGATTTCCTAGCTGAGAGTCTAGTGATCCGAAAATTATAGGGATCAAAACTTACCTTTTCAAAAATTTCAGCCAGAAAAAGGCTCCCGAAAGTTGTAGGTGACCTTTTTTAAGGTAAAAATCCATCAAAAATGGGCAATTATACCATTTTTTAAAATGTTCGGAAAATTCTAGATCTCAAATCGTCTTCCGAACAGATATTTTCTGAAAATATTGACATTGGGTGCCCCCGTTTTGTCAGGCTGTGAGTTCCAAACATGGGGGATTTGCCATTGATGCTCTGCTTGGGTGTTTGTCATTGTTGATGTGATGCTTCAACAACTAGATTTCCATACAGGATGTATGAGATTGATAATGATTTGATGAACAGTTATGGACAAGCATGCTACATGTGATCAAACGTACTCCGTGTTGATTCACGGGTGGTATACATCCCACCGTTCCTAGTGAACATCTGGTATTAATAACTTCCAGTTTATATGAACATTTCAGGTGATGTCACAGTTTTTGTACTCTTTTAAAGCAAAATAGATGGTTGGCAAGTTTCACTTCTCTTGAATATTGTTAATAATATTAATACGCTACATGACTTGCAGTTTTATGCAAATAATTTGAAATTATTTTTTCAAGCATAGTGTTGATATTTGAAATTCTTATAATGTTTCAATGATGTGCACTAATGTCTTGCATTGCATAGAGAATAAAATCACAATAATAAAAACGGAAATGAAAATTATACATAATCAGCGTCTTTGGAAAGCATATTGTTGTGTTGTTGTAGTTAAGGTAAACATACAAGCCAAAAATTGCAGCTGCGCCTCCTAGCTGGGTATTTGGGCTTAATTTTCAGTTTGTTAACTTAGAAAAATCGCGTTGAAAAGTTTGGGGTGCGTCTTATAACCAAAAGCGCCTTATAACCGAAATAATACCGTATTTTATTAAAGTATGGCTAGAAAATGAAAAAAAAACAGACAGACGGCAATGTTGACATACTACTAAGGGGGCTGGGGATGGGTTGGCAGAAACATGAACATTGTTTCCTTTTCCCTCCCTACCCTTGTTGCATTGTCATCAGTATGGCTTGCAAAGGATTGTGGTTGTTGTGGACATGTATAGCAGTACAGCGTGACATCAGGTCATGTGGAACTTGGAACGCTTTGTGAATAATGTGTTTTCCACCATTCTTGTTGTTAAATAGAGTTTTACTGTGCGAATTGACATTAAATAAATTTGGAACCAAAAGATCCTTTCACTTCTTGACGAGACTAACGAAAATGCCCTGTTAACCCTTTAAACCCCAGTATCCACATACAAATTCTCCAAAGTTATCTCTTTACATTTCCTTAAAGAATGAGTTGAGAGAATTTGATAATAGATCAAGGCATTTTCTCTTGTGTCATCATTTTATTAATTCTCAAAACTTATCTCTTGACAGTGTATGGATATTGTTTTGAGAAATTTGATCTTGGTCACTATTGGGACTTAAAGGGTTACGTGTCGTCTTCTCTCACAGTGATAAAAAAAAAATGGGATTTGAGGTTTTTTCTGCCTTGCACCGCCTAGCAATTAAAGAGAACTGGGATAGTTTGTTGTTTTCCTAGCCTTTGTGGAGAGATAAGGATTGAATTCCAAAGACTTTGATTTAAGAGGAAGTTGGGCAATAATGTAGCTAGCTTGTGTGTTTTCTTTTTTGAAATTGACAAGACCCTGTAAAAAACAATGTGCTACTCGTTTCATGCAATGTTTTTTGAAATCTGGAATTTCTTTGCAAAAGAGGTTGCACATTTTGGGAATAAAAGCCTTGAACTGAGTGTACATTTCAGATGTTTCCCTGTAGTTATAACTTTTCGACTCTAGAAAATCCGCGAGAATATAAATAGAAGGAAGGAGGATTCGCATGATGTTGATCCGTTATCCGCAGCCGCGATCCTAGGATCCTATCCATTCCCGTCTTTACAAAGTGATGAGGAGATCTGGACACAAGTTTTCGTTTGTGAGGTTCTCACTGGGAAGAAACTCGTTCGGTTTCCTTTCTTTAGCTGAGGAGATCAGAAGGCGACGCAGGCGAGTTCAAAGGATGTTAATGACTTCTTCAACTAAATTTTGAGACAAAGGACAACTCCGGAGACTCTACGCTGAGTATAAACACTCGAAAAGTGACGCTGCGATACAAATTAAACGCGATCTCCGTGGGAAAACTGCGCAATATCACAATGGAAAACGATTTAGCAGACAGATTCATTTCGGAACGCATCATACGCAAACTTAAGGATACTTTACAAGCACAGAGCTCACTTCCTCAGAATGATCTTTCCTTACAGTTGTCGTGCATGCAAGCATCGGCATCAACTCTTCTAGAAGTAAAGAACATCTTGGATGGTCTAAGCAAAGCGTCGGTCAAAAGCGTAGCTGACACTCTGGCTAATTCTGATGTTCATTTTGTTTTACAGCGGTTTTTATTCAGTGCGTATTACTTTTTGCCCTCAGACGGTGGAATGGTGGCCAGTTTCACGAAAGAGGAAGTAAATCGTCTTTCTGGAAAGCTCATATTTTGCCCTCTTTATGTCGCTCTAGTGGAAGTTCTTACACATCTAGTCGCAAGTCCAACATTTGCAAGCAGTCTGTCTTCAACCAAAATACTTCAGCTTCTTTTACAGGATCTGAATGTGTTGGTATTGCCAAGTTCGGAGCCAGACCATTTTAAAATGCTTCTGGCCAATATTCAGTTTTTATGGCAGGTGTCAAAAAGCCCAGCCACTTCTGTTCTGTTTTGCAACGTGAGTGATACCCTGTTAATTCTTATTAATGTGTTTGTTAGTTATCAAGGACCCTTTGAACAGCTGACTACACTAGTCAAATCCTTGGTCATGTTTATTGCGGCCAGCGTTGCCGATGATGAAACAAGTGTGTACTTGCTTGCGGAAGAAAGCTGCTTGGATTTCATTGTTGACATTCTCAGAAAGTCCGTAAGCACGGGAGAGACTTACCTTAATTATCAGGGTGTTTACGCTGTAGACATTGCCAGCTGTATTGAGAAAATGAGCCGATTTGCAGGTTTGCAAGAAGCACTTCTGGGGCAAGGTGTAGTGGAGCTCCTCGTGACTATGATTCAGATAGGTGATCCTTTTGATGACAGTGCAGCAGCCAGTGCTATGAATGCACTCATGCAGTTCTATGGGGAAACAGATGTTCCAGTTTTGTTGCAAGGACTAGCGTCAGAAATAGATTCATCATCAGAGAGATTGGAACTCTTTAGTCATAATTTGAAGGAACAAGATGTTGTCCCCAAAAATGGAGATAAAAAAGAAGTGAGAAGTGCAGAAGAGGAAGCACTGGTGTCGAAAGTGCAACAGCTAAGTCTGGAGACTGAGGGCTGCAATGTGACTGAACAGTTACAAAGTGAGGTAAATGTTGAGGGAAGGGAAATCCTGGCAGAAAGTCAACATAGAGGCAATGGCAGTTTAACCAATGAAAATTTTGGAGAGGATGTCAAAGGGTTTAAGTCAGAAGGACTTGAGCAAAATATGGAGGGTATCAAAGAAAACACTGACAAAAAGACTGGTGTTTCTTTGTTTGATGGAGAAACCACATCTAATGCTACAGATAATGATGCCGATAGAAAGGAGGATGGGGCAACAGAAACAGAGAAGCCCAAGGGATTATCTCAGGAGAGCATGGAATGTGATATTGGTGATGATCAGCAGAAGGAAAAATTTGCAGTTGAAATGCTTGAATTGAATGGAAAAGTGGTGGAATGTGAGGTTAAGAGTGCAGAAGATGTCTTTAGTCTTCAAAAAGATGGAGGGCAAAGATGTGATTCAGATAGAGAACCAAAAACTATGTCAACAGCAGGTTCTAAGGAAATTGAGGAAAAGGAAATGGAGATATTACCCACACAACCTTTACTTGAAGTAACAAGGCAAAGTGAAACCTTCAAGGCTGTTTCTCCAGAGCAAGAAGATATATCCTCTTACCTGAAAGAGCAGATCAAGAGCATGGGAGAAGACGAAATTAAGTACTTAACAATTCCAACACCTTTCCAGCAGCCCGATCTTATCAAGCAACCAGAGCCTGAGAGCACACAACAGTCTTCCCAGAAGCCATTCCACTATCAGCAAGCTGGAACTGACCCTGTGTCAGGACAAGACTTGCATGATATACATTGGAGTCTGATAGAGCTAGGTGTTCACAACATGTATGATGCAAAAGTGGTCGGCCTGCTTAACGAACTCCTGGAAGAGTCAAAACTAAGAGAAGCTGGTGTGTTTGACATACTCAATCATGTCCCTCGTGTCTACACTTTCAAATTTCTAAGAACAGGAAGCATGGAACGACAACTAAGAGTTGTTCCTGCATACAACAAAGGTGGAATCAATGCTCCATTTATCCATGCTCAACCTGAAATAGATTATCATTTGGTACTCAAAAAGTTTATTTTTCAAATGGTACCAGATCATGGCAGCAAAATGCATTTTCCAGGTTTTACTGTAATTGGACCCTGGTTGGAGAAAATCCCAGCAGATCTTGAAGAGTGGAATTTCTGCTTTGTGCCTTTAAAGTCTCAATTTGTCGAAGGGAAGACGCAATTGTATCTATCCGCTGAAATATTGAAAGCAAATTTCTTTTATCCCATTTTGTTGTCATTTGTACACATGAACATCAGGTACAGGATTCTTGAGGCAAAAGGGGAGAATTTAACAAAGGAAAAACTGAAACAAGAAAGTATCACTCTTAGGAAAATTGAAGAGAATGGTCCAGCAGTTACAGTACACTACTTACACAATTATCTTACTGTTGACTATGTGTTATCACTGCGTCACATCCAGTGGCCTTTGTGTGCAGCAGAATGGGGAAGTCGGCAAAGGTATTGGCCTAATAGTGACACTGTCAACGATGTCATACGTTATGGCTGCCATTTGGTACCAAAACAACCACCTACTCTCAGCAAAGAAGACCCACTGTATGGCCTGTTTTTCCAGTACTCATTTGCAAGAGCTGAAAACATCCTGCTAAACAAACTGAATGAGGATAACCCAGTGCTGACTGATTGTCTGCGCATGTTAAAGTTTCTCTGTGAGATGCATTTTGACAGGCCTCAGCTGCTGAAGTCATATCACATGCAGACAATCATTCTGCTCGCAGCAGAGAGGCTTCCACTGTCACACTGGAAAGCTGACAATTTTGTGAAACATCTGCTGGATTTATTGGATGACTTGCTGCATTTTCTTGTGGCACAATATCTACCTAACTATTTCATTCCTGCGCAGAATCTTTTCCAGCAATTTTCTTCTGATTTTCTTATTGATGTGGCAAAGAGGGTGTCCAAAGTTAGGAAAAACCCGATCAAATACCTAACCCCCTCTAGGGATCCTGAGAGATTTGGGATCTTTCTGATTTGAATGACCTCAATACAGATGAATACACGCATCCTTGAAGTGCGCTAAAGGTCTGATAGAAAGGGACCCATGAAGACCTCTTGCATTCAGCTTAGCACTATGATCACATCAGGAAAACAACATTAATTAATGAAAAAAACATTTTGGTAGCAAGTAGACTGAGTTTTGAGGGAAAATGTACAGAGCCACCTTACGAACATCAGAAATTTAAGATGGAATAAATTTGGTAAATTCTTTAAAAGTTGGAGCACATTCTAAGGCACCTAAAGTAAGGGTGTTTTCAACAGGATGTACTATTGACTGTTGCCATAGCAACCTGTATTGTTACAAAAAGGACCATGACTCTTTTGCAAATTATTGAGCATTTGGTTGATAGCATTTATAGTATTGCATCAAGTGTAAATGAGTTATTGTAGTAGTATTGATTCTGACCATTAACTTTAAAGTTCTGTTGGCATTTTTAAAAATTTAAGGTGCCCTAAATTGCTTTTACATTGTAGAAAGGTGAAATTTAGCCTTGAGTGCTTCAAGCACTGAAAAAAATAGTAAAAGGTGTTACACCAGGTTGTAAATTGCTATATGGTAATTTGTAGTGTTACAAAAAAACTATCTAACTTAATCCTTTACACTGATGGTGTCAAAGAAATGTTCATTTGTTGGTGATTAAGATTTATTCTGGGAAAAAACGAAATTTAAAGTGTTTTAGAATTGATCCATTTATGCAGAGTGTTAAAAAATGCTGAAAACCTTTTTGAGCCACTGTAAACCTGTTGCTTAGCTGTTCCCATTTCAAAGTGTACTGCATTTAGTCAGTGCCACCCATATTGAGGGTAGTGCTTACCACTATGCCTAGAACAGTAACCATTGACAAAGACAGAATAGAATATGAGAAATCCCGGTAGTTTATCAATGCCTGAGTTAGTCAACGATAGGTAGGGTTTAATTTGCCTTGATTTGCAGAGTCAACATTTATGCAACGAAACCTTTATACTTGGACATACAGATATTATTGAGTCCTGTAATGTATCACTCTTTTGTTTTGTTCTGTATCGTAAAAGCAAAATGCACAACCATGTGCTTCTAATAAATGAGATGTTAGGAAATATATTTTGCCCTGTGCTTTTATGGATGGAGTTGACATGTAATAGCCATGAAAAAAGTGTTAAAAGTAGTTTATTCCAACATGGTGCATTTTTTAACAAAGTGTTAGTACAGAGAAAGGTTGCTCAGTTAAAGGCAAATTTCAGCTTTCAAAGAGCTTAGAAACTGAATGAAATTCCTCTCTATAGAAACCCAACCATACGCGGTGCTCACTCTTAAAATTCGAAGTAGTTGCCTCGTCTTGATTTTGTGGCCTTTTTTTTTTAAGAAACGTCAGCTCACTGAGAAGGCTGAAAACCTGGTCTCAAACAAGCGTGGCTAATGCGAGGCTGAACGAGCTTGCTTTAGCGTGCATTCATAAACCAACAGAAATTGACAGCAGTTCTATTTTAAAAAGATGGGATGGCTCTGGCCACAGACGGATTGCCTTAGCTTTCAGTAAAGAATAAACGACGGGCAAGAAATGTTCGCTTTTCCAACTGTTAAGGGAGAAGTGAACTACTCTTAATCGTGAAAGTTAGTGACTTCTTAGTCCTACAAGTTTAAGAGATGGCCATATGACATGGCTGTCTCAAAGGTGAAGAACATAAGCAAGAGTGTATCGAAACAAATAATTGATAAGTGAGCGTGATTCTGTATATCATCTAAGAAATAACTTCAAAAAACGTGTTACCTAAGCATTTGAAATTTGCAGCTCTTTTGGCTTAGCTACTCATCAAAGTTTTGAGGTTACCTTTTTGCCGAGATATATGGGGTCCCATTAAAATTTTTCCACGTTGCTCTTTTTAGGTAGAGTAAGCTGTCATTGCTGCACTTCAGAGCAGTCCTTTGACGTTTTGATACCAACAGGCCACTTGCACTAAGAGGTCACGTGACCAATGCTTTCTTTAAATAATGAGTTGGAATCTTGCTGATGCCAAAAATTGACAGAGCTCATGAAAATAATCTTATCCCCGAAATTTGAGAGGAAACTCATTTAAGGGAGATATTTTATGGCACTTTGAATTTTCAACAAAGTAGTATGATTTGTATTGGCCACCATGTTGGAGGGCATACTCTTGCCCTCCAACATGGCGGCCAAAACTACTTTTTGCTTATATCTTATTAAACGTGTAGTAGTTACGCTCAGATGTGCTGTAAACGCTACCACATCATCTTTTCAACATTTTCCTTGAAGTGCAAAATTTGTGTTCTGAAAGAGGTAATTCATAATTTTAAAAATCACATTTTGGTCACGTGACCAGTACGAACTTACTCATTTTAAGAAAATGGTGCGGGTTTGAAAAACCAAATCACTATTATTTTGTTTAAGATATGACCCCCTAATCGTTTTTCGAAGACAAAATCATGTAACTTTCATTTTCATAAAAACGATGTCACATGACCTCTTAGTGCAAATGGCCTATTAAACCTCCATTTACAACTTTGAAGCCCCATTTACACTACAAAAAAAAATGGGTCCGGACCCATAAAGAAGTTGGTACGGACCAGATATTTTTGCCGTGTAAACCTTCCGTGCCATGTTTTCATGAAATAGATACGGACTCGCTTTTTTCTGGTTTTGGGGTCATAAGTGGCTATGGCCCCAAAACCGCAAAAAAAAAACAAGTCCGGATCCCTTCTGCTGTTCGAAAGCGCTCTGTAAACGCATCTTCGTTCCGTACCATCGTCTTCATGTGAGCCTGCCGTGCGTTAAGGTGGTTTCGCGCGTGTGTACTATGCACTTTTCAAGCATGAGCCTAACCTGATTGTTACCCGTGTAAACGGTTAAAAAAAAATTGGTCCGGACCACCTTTTAATGGGTCCAGACCAGGTTTTTTCTGTAGTGCAAATCGAACTTGAGATTCTTAACAGATTCTTAGCTTGATCTTTCTCACTACAGACATGTTGGAATTTTGGAGATCAGAGAGGACACCAATTTCAGAATAAAAAAGATTAGATTGGAGACTGTGCGCCCTTTCTATATGGACGATGTAGTTTTAAGCAACACTGAAATTGACCCCACCCAGGAAGAGATGGTGATGGCTTACTTAGTCAACAAAGTAAGTAAGCACTCGACGACTGTTTTCTGTACAATATCTGTTCGGAGAAGCAAATATTGCCTATTTTCTATTACTTGAGGGCGACTAAAAATTTCTAGAGGAACGTTCCATTCATGTACAATTTTCGAGGCGTATCTAATAAATTCCCTACGATTTTCTGTAGTTTAATTTTTCATATTGTACTACCCAGTTTACACCATTTTTTCTTAGAAAAAGGAAACCTAAAATTTTCGGATTCTAAAATGTAATGGAGAGAGGAATCAGGAAAATTCTCACTTTCGTAAAACGTTAAATTCCACCTAAAATTTTCGGGAAATTAATAGTGAAGCCCTTGTAATTTCGAAAAGACTTAAGTTCCCCTAGGATGACCGAACAGATAAAAATTTTGTAGCGCCGCTTCGAATGCATTTCCAGAGATCTAAAAGTAATTTTTGGATAGCCTAAATGGTGTTTTCAACGTACTTTGGAGGAAACCGTCGCTAGGTGCCCCTGGTAAACATTCGATACTCTTGTCTGCAAAAATTATATGTGTGACATTTTGACCACAATGCTGTCAAATTTTTTAACATTTATATGGGTGGTAATTATTCGGGGCGAGATATCTCCACCAGCTCCTATGATTATGACCTCTGTCTACTCCCATAGTAATAAAAAGTAGCATAATACTGTAAAATTCCGAAAATAAGCCCCGGGGCTTATATTTTTCAAAAGCCCTTTTTGAGGGGCTTATTTTTGGAGAGGCTTATATTCGGAGGGGCTTATCTACGGAGGAAAATTTGCGTTTCAGAATCGATTAGGCTAGCCTTATATTTGAAAGTAAATTTATCGTTTTTGCTTTGCTGTACTTTGTATTTGAGGGTAATCTTCCAAGTACAAGCCCTCGGGGGGCTTATATTTGGAGGGACGATTTAACGGACGGTTTTTTGCGTTACCGGTTTGCGGAGCTTATACATGGAGGGGCTTATTTTCGGAATTTTATGGTATATAGATTTAGCCAGAGCTAAAAAGCGTAGCTCCAGTTAATAATTAATGTAGGTCTGTGTGTTTCACAGTCTTGTTTCTGCTTAATGACAGGTAGAACAGTTGATTGAAAAGGCTGAGAGAGAACACAGTGGCAATCCACGACAACCTGACAAACCTCTGATAACGATACGGGTATGATAGCTGTAATCTCTGATCCAGACTTAACCCTTTAAGTCCCAATAGTGACCAAGATCAATTTTCTCCTAAAATATCCCTACATTGTCAACAGATAAGTTATGAGAATTATTAAAATGATCACCCAAGTAAAAATGCCTTGATCTTCTATCAAATTGTCTCAACTCATTCTGAAAGGAAATGTATGGAGATCAGTTTGGAGAATTTGTATGTGGATACTGGGCCTTAAAGGGTTAACAGTGACAACAACAACATCAACACTTGACTCTCACTTAGGGCAAAATGATGGCTTAGGGGAGGGGCAGGTGGTTAGTTTCCCAGCAACGTATAATGATCCAATCATTTATGCATTTGGTTCGCGTACATGAAAAGTTCGGCGTCTGAAACAACGCTGTTCCAAAGTCCATCCAAAGTGGAAATTCCCAGCCGGCTAGGCAGAAAGAACGACAGAGCTGTTTTAAATTGAAACTGGCATTCCTGTGTGATGTATTTTGTAAGTAAAATGAATATTTTTCTCTTTTTGAATTAAGTTCGGCTGGAATTAAGGTTGGCGTCTGAATCAATTCAGCCGCTCTAAATAATTTGGGTCGGCCTTAATTCGAATTAGGTTCGGCTCATGAAACGTGTAGCGTCTGAACCGGGCCTAACAGATTACATGCGTTTCTTAGAGTTATGCAAAATGTCGAAAGTATCTCATTTCCTGGTCATTTCCCCTTCTGTGAACAGGTTGAGTATAGTGGTGGTTTTTCGTCCTTCAATATTAGAAGATTTGGACAACAGTTTGTTGACAGAGTGGCCAATCCAAAGGATATTTTACATTTCTATCAGAGAAAAAAACCACCTACCAAAACAGGTAATTTAACCACAGTTCCAGGGGGGTGTGGGGGGGTACTTCCTTATAAGAGGCTAATGGGGAAGTGCCGCTGGATGGGGTCGCATTTTCACAACTGGATTGACTATCATGGGGTCACATTTTCAACAGAGTTACTAGAATGGGGTCGCACATTTTAGGATTTTTTGGGGTAAGACAGTTCTTCATATTCACGGTTAGCAAACGTACCAGAATGTTTGCACTGTAGATGAAAAGTAAAGTGTTCTTCATTCAGTTTAAAAAATGGGTCAATTCATAAAAATAGAAAGTGACTAAGTTGGGATCGCGACAATTACATATTTGCCCAAAAGTGACTAAGATAGGGTCTATAATTGGTCACAGAATAGACTATAATGGGGTAGGGGCCCAGCGGCACATACCCAGCAAAAATGTAGCCAAGTACCCCCGCCCCGGCCCATAGTGACATCTACATGGGCGTAGATACAATGATCAGAAGTTGAGGTGGAGTGGTGGTAGATTCCGGGGGGACTCCCTATGATGGGCTATACGGGGAGGCTCCTCTCAAAAGGGGTATCTATTTCAGGCTTCAGGTGTATGAAAGGGTAGGAAAATCTTTCATTTGGGTCTGTGAAAGCGCCCAAAAGGGCTAACAAAAACAGATGAATTTTATGGCTTTATAAACTTGAGAAAACGTTCTTTTTTGTGTGATTGATTCCTATTTGAAAGACAGTACAAAGGGATGCAACGTTCTAACCAAGATATGTGATAGGGGTACCGGGGGTACTTGTGAGGCATGGTTTCTGGCGTTTAGTTGGTTCGTCTTTGTTATGGTCAATATGAATGGCGGCGAGCATGTTTAATTTATAGCCTGCGAGGAGAAACGGATGTTTTCGCAGGCTAGATTAATTATCAGTGCTAGTAGTATCTGACAGATGACTTTAAAGAAATAACAATGCAACAAAATTGACCAGTCAGGTTAATAACCAGAGTTTAATACCATCAACTGAGGTGAGACAACTCATTTTGACTCTGAAGATGAGCACCGCACAGATCGAAGCGTACTGCTACTTATCAGAGTGTTAGTTTTTTATCATAGTCACTAATGGTTGCAATGTTCAATAGTTTTTACTAAGCATGCAACAAAACAACAAAAACTAGTTTCCTTGTGCAAGAAACTTTAAGTAAATGTTTCAACTTTTCTTCATTAATGGGTATACTAAATGTTACTAATTGTAAGCACAATGCTGCGAGCAGATGCCGGGCAGTAAAACATCATCTGAGAAACGATGAACTGACGTAGACTTGATTAAGGTAGAGGGTCTCTGTGTCTGTATTTCTGTTGTAGACAAGAAGGGCAAAGAAGACAGCAGATTTGCTCAGTTCCGCCCAGAGGCACTGGACAGTATCAGAATGGAAGACTTGATCAAAGAATACTTAACTTCGAAAGATAATGTACGTCGTCACTTATAATTGGTCTACTCATCTTTAGTAATTCTAACATTTTGACTTCTTTGCACAGCTGTACGGCTGTACTTGTTGGTAATAAACAGGATCTCTCGTAGGGTCCAAAGTGGAGTATTGTCGGCCTGAATTTGGATTAAGTTTGTCACATGAGATTTTGGGCGTCTCAACTAGGCCTACCGTATTTAATCGAATAACAGGGACTTTAAGATAGGTCACCGCGGTCGCCTGCGACGGTTGGATAGATGTTACGTCACGCAAAATACGCGTGACATTTTACTGTCGTCCTTCTGGGACGGTATGTTTTCGCAGGGTTTCTCGTCGTGAAGGCAACGGTGAAATCGGTAAGAGTTCATACACACTTTTCTTCTAAAACTGAGTACCCAATAGGTTAAATATGCGTTGTGTTGTGTTTATACTGATTTACCTATCGGTGAACTGAAAAAAAAAAGCGAAAACGTCTGAGTTCATTCAAGACATAACTCCGCTCCGTTGCTTGGCGACTTCTTGTTTTTACCTAGTGTCGTCCGCCATCGCAGAGGAAAATTGCCAAAAAGAAAGGTATAACAGTGGTGATTTTAGCCGTCTTTTTTAACGTAAAACTTTTATAAAACTTTTAACGTATTCCTATCAAGAAAAGATTTCTTTAAGGTGATTCCCTGGTTTTGCACTGCGCATCTCTTACTGCGCATAACAAGATGGCCGCCGTAAAAAAGAGCATGTGAAGTAACATTATTAAAATGAAGTTGACTGAAGAGAAACGCTATTGGAATTTTTGCTTGCTGTTGTTTCTTGCCGAGATGAGACTCAATGTGTTGGGAATGTGCATAACGTAAGCAGTACGCGAGTTGCTGAGTTCGACTTCCTCTCGGAGAACCTCGATAGTAGATGTTTAACTTGTGCTTATTCACTTTGATTTTCATTTAAACGCTTTCTTTATCACATTGTGTCCTAAATGTGATATCTCGATGTAAATTCTGTAAAAACGGATTTTTTAATACTTTCTTCCCCCTTTCACATACATTCCATTTTGACACTCGCCCCAGTCCTCTCTCAAATATCGGAGAAAATGCATTTGGTGCGCACTTTCTGCAGCTCTACCACAAAAACGAGTACGGTGACCCCCATTTTTTATTTCATGATTTTAATAAGGACAGTGCTTGCTTTCGATGAGAAAAAAATGGGCACAAATGTATGTTCAGTTTTTCGGCAATTTTACTAAATTGTACGGATTGAGCTATCACGGGTCGAGTAGCGTGTGTCCAATTTAATTCTACTTTGTAGCGTAAAGTAAAAACAAGGGCATTAAAAGGTATTTTTCTGGTGTTTAAGTGGATAAACAATACATTAAAGTCTAATTCTGTGTGATACAACATGCATCATCGAAAAAACTCTCCTTTTTGTCTAGTTTTGGGCTCACCGCGGTTTTTGTAAAAGGGTTCTAAATAGCCGTATTTGTCAGCATTGTGACGTCAAAACGAGCACGGTGACCCCCACTTTTTATTACTTTTTTATCATCTTCTTGACTTGTTACATCAGTGTACCAAGTTTCATCTACAATCTATGTTACGTTCTTTTACTAGGGAATCACCTTAACACAAAAAGTGTTGGCTAAAGAGAGAAAAGTTCACGGGGAGATAAAAACACCGACTAGCTTTGAAAACTAGCAAGCTTTAATTTGTACTCTTATTCGTATACGCATCCAACCGTCCCAGGCGACCGTAGTGACCTTTTAAGTCCCTTATCGCCGCCCCCGATAACTGCGGCCCTCGAATAAGCGCCGCGGCTTATAATCAAAATCTAAAGGCGTTAATTTTTTTAAGTTTAATACGGTTGATAATAATACTGTAGTTGAAATAACTCTTTGTCGTGTCCAACGTCCAATGAAACTTCGCCTTCCAATAAGCGACATCTTCGAATAAGGGCTTATTCAAGGGAATGAGGTAAGCCTCTCTGACGATGCCCAAAGGCTGAAATGAATAATAAAAATTGTTGATCGTTATTTCAGGCATTAGAGCTGCGCATTTTAACAGAGGGAAAAATGGCACAGGCACTTCGTGAGTTTGTTGAAAAAGACGAAAGAGATGCCATATCGACTGTTGTAAAGTGGCAGCTTGATCAAGCACAGAAACACTTGAAGAAGAGGCAAAATGTACGGGAAGAGAACATTGAGACTGAAGTGTGTAAACATACAGAAGAGATTAGGAGGAAAGAAGACGACAATGATGAGGAGGATGCAGAAAGCATAAGAAAGGTATCCAATGAAACCTATTCTGCCTTTTTTGAGTACTGCCAGTAAACGGGTCATGACAAGATCTGAAGTGCCACGTCAAGGAGGCCATCGCTATCAAACGAAGAAAACCTTTTCTAAATAGGGACCAGGGACTGGACCTTCCGGCCATTTATAGTTCTTTTTTGGGATTACGTTTACAACGACCTTTCTGTTAAGTAACCGAATGTCATCTTAAATCGCGTGATGAAGTTTGGGCGATTAGAGCGAATTATTCGATTTGTTTTAAACTGTTTTGCACGACAGAGTTTTGCATTTGTTGTTATAAAAAAGGTAAAAAATGATTGAAAAACGATGTTCACTCTGGCTAGGTCTTTGATGACTTGCTTGGATTGTATGTACATGATGTGGAAACCGTTATTGTTTAAAGTTAAAAGTTCACGAGTAGATAGAGGCTTTCCATCAAGTTTTGCGGAAGACTATTTATAGGAAACATGATTAATTGATTTTCTTAGCGACAAGTATTAAGTGGAGGTAAAATTCCGGGATCTAAACGTCTATCCATATTTTAAAAGTAGTTTTCCAGCTCAGAATCCATATCCTAAATTGTTTTTATAATCAGGTCCTGGAAGAATCCCGAAGTAGCCAATCAAGAAATGAAAATAATAATGCTGATGATATGAGTGGGAGCAGTGACGACGACAGATCAGCTGCTGTACCAAGTACAAGCAAAGGTATCAAGACAACTGTGTGCTTTGATGTAGTGAATAGACCTCCAACGGTAACACCCAAGAAATACACCTTGCATTTGTGATTTTAAAGTTTTAATGTCTTTGATCCTCACTGACTCGCGATTACAGCTTGAAACTTTACTTTTCCTCTGTTCACAAGAACGCGTCCTTTTTCAACTACAGTCGATTCCCGATAACTCGAACCTTCAAGGAAAATCAAAAAAGTTAGCAGGAGTTCGAGTTATCGGAAGTACGAAGCAAATAACCAGAAAGGAGGAAATGGGATGGGGAATGAATGCAAGTAACATGAACACTTCAAAGCTTGATAAATACACAGTGCTGGACATTGTATTTAAACTGCACTGACAAAAAAGTAAAGACAAAGAATACATGGTTGTTAAAATAATTTCAATGTTTCGGACTTTAGTTCACTTTTTTCCACTTGTCAGTCGCTTAAAGCATGGTTCGAGTTGGCGTGGGTAAATTTACATATAGGAATGATCTGAAGGGAAACAAGAATTACTTCGAGTTAGCGGGAGGTTTGAGTTACCGAGGGTAAAATTACAGTAAATGTATGAAGGAAATCCATGGGAAATCGATTTTGGTTCGAGTTAGCAAGAGTTCGAGTTATCGGGAGTCGACTGTAGTTTTATGTAGCAAGTCTTATACAGTAGATTAATCATGGCTCAGAGTAAGAAATTTTTTTAACTGACCCTAGGAGGTAAAAGAACTTTTTTTAGATTGAAGAAAGAATTTTTACTTGAGACTTGGTTGAGTGGGGTGGGTTGCTTGCCCACGAAAGGTTTGATTGTATGTAACCCTCCATCACGTATCAATGTGCATTAATTTAGCAAGAGAACGTAGCGTTAACAAATTTATTTGTAGGGATTTAATGGTGTATAAGTCAGATTTCCTGATTATATTTAGAACAGTGCTGGTCCAAGCCATGAGAAACAGCTTTTCATGCAGTGTAGCCATCAGCAGCAAGTGCCTTGCAAAATTAATAACTTACTCATACAACCACCACCAATGAAAATATGATATCTTCCCATGTGAAAAGATTACCGTTGCTATGGCTACATAATAAATCGCGTCTTTCGCAGAAAAAATGACGTTGAAGTTAAAAGGTTTGGTATTTCATTGGTGCTTATATAACTTATTAAATAAGTAGAACATTACATGGCTGTTTGGAGTTAAAAATTTCTCCTCTCGTCTTCTACAATAGTTCAATCCTTGGCTGCGCTCACGCGCAAAAATATTTTTCAACATTCGAGGCGAAGTTTCGTATCTCCGAGCGGCGGTGTAATATCCTCTATTCACGTCATGGTGCCTTAGCTTAATGCAGACATTCCCCTCTATGTCAACAGGAAAAAAGGGCCGTGGTGATGTTGGCAACACATCCTCAAGCGGTACCGCTGAAGGGCGTGGTCGAGGTAGGGGCAGGGGAAGAGGTCGTGGGCGAGGAAGAGGAAGAGGAGCATCGCAAGCAGGAGCAAACACTTCACGGACTATTATGGACTGTAAGTGAATGTGTAAAAGATGTAAATTGTAATTTGTTCACTCACGAAAGACGTAGGAGTCGTTAGGGGGGTGCTTTCCATTCAACCCGAAATTCCGGAAATTTTGGTTGGTACATCAAATGGAACGGACCATTTCGGTTTGTTCCGACCGGAATATTCGGGACCAGCTTTCAAGATGGTCCACTTTGATCGGTCTGGTCATTTCGGTCGGTCGGATCGAAATGTCCCTTTCCATTTGACCAAATTGTTGTTCCCAGTACCGCCATTTTGTATCCTGCTTACAAGAACAATAACCAAACGCGCGGTGGCTTGGGTCGGGTCTGTGCAACCGGAATGTACCGCTCCATTGGGCACGTGAAATTTCCAAAATTTCAAACCTCAATTTTTGTGGAATGGAAAGCGCCCAGGAACTCGCTAAACCGTGCATTCCAGATTGAATTGTAATTTGAAAATGTTGATTTTGAGGAGAGAGGAAAACAGGAGTACCCAGAGAAAAACCTCTCAGAGCAAGGACAAGAACTGACCACAAACTCAACCCGTATGTGGCGTCGGCTTTGAGATTTCAACCCAGGCCAGATTGGTGGGAGACGAGTGCTCTCACCACTGCTTCACCAACACAATCCAGTGACGGATCCAGACAATTAGATAAGGGGTGGGGGGGCGGTCATCCAGACCCTTAGATAAGGGGGGGACGGTCTCGCTCCTCGCTGGGCGAGTAGCAAGGAGAAACGGCTGTTTTCGCAGGCTACTTAGGCTTCTGTTGCGATTCCAATGAAAATTTTTTCATAAATAGTAAGCGCCATCGTCTCCCAGTGACTAATGGTGATGTACGTTCAACTCTAACTCTAATTTTGACCACTCCCAGGGCTGCAAATAATTGTCAGTCATTGGACAATGCCTGACAAAACTTGCCCAAAGTCTGACTTTCCTTACTGCGGTTGGAAATGATGCCAATTCAAAACAAGCAGAAAGGACTACAACTTTAAAGATGAATGAAATCTACCATTTGAGCCCTATGGCAGTGATAAAATCACTCGTCTTCCTTGCACAATTTTTAAAGACGCATAATGTGTCCTTGATTGACTCCGATTGACCCTTGTTTTGTCTGACCCAAATAATAACTTGGCTGGACATTTGTCCTTTTAAGAGAGAAAAAGTAATTGCAGCTAACGACGTCATTCGCACCCTAAACTGCACCTGCAGATTAAGCTTATTATGTTTACTTGCCTTTACTTGAATGTACTAATCAGTATTCCCCCCTCCCTCTGTTATAGCCTTTGTCTCATCATCAAAAAGACGAAGACAACCGAGTGATGTGGTGGAGGTAAAGCAGACATTCTTAACTACAGTAATTACCTGTTATTCACTCTCCTGAAGGGTTTTTTTTTTTAGGAACTGAGCAGTTTTCGTTTGACCTTGAAGAATGATTTCCTTAAGGATTCGTTATTATCTGTTTTATCAGCTGATAGTTCCACGAAGATCAAAATTTGGACTTGTCATCTTGTCAGCAAAGAAACCCTAAGGTGCAAAAAGCATCGCTCGATTGTCCAAATGTCGGCAGCCAAGCTTGTCTTGACCCTGAGAAAAGAGCTGATAATTCGCAGCGCCACTACTGGTTTTCAAGCGAAATGACGTTTGAGAAACGAGCGCAGAACTTTTCCATACTGACGACGCGTCAGTATCCAGATCAAGGTAGTTCCTCTAATAGGACATTTTCATGATGACGACATTTAACTGCAACTACCAGAATTATTTCGTTTTTGCGTTCTTATTGAAATATGTCAATCCCTTTGAGGTTTAAACAACAATAGCCCTAATTTGCATAAGAAAGCAACAAACTGAAGGATTCTGGTAGTTGTAGCAAAATGATGTAATCGTGCAATTGTTCTATTGGTCGTGCCGCGTGGGAAATTTGCTTCAACCAATCAGAAGCACTACCCAGATCCTGGTAAGGATGCGTCATCAGTGTGGAATTTCTGCGCTCGTTTATCCATCGAGTCAAGCTACGACGCTGTCCGGCCTACATCTAGCTTATTATTTTATGAACATTAACTAACATTTTTTCATTAATTCTGCAAATGGCCTTTCTCAACTGGACGGTTTCAAATGAACATAATATTCTCACTGGGGCCATCTCGTACAAACGCCCCAAATCCCTTCGGGATTCAAGGATAACAATTCCCGCGCGCTCGTAGTCTCCTGGGTGTTCTGTTTCACACAGGTTTTGTATAAATAGGCCTGTTTTGGCCTGTTTAATTGTCTTTTCGTTAAACGTTCGCCAGTCGTTAGCTTGGCGTCCCTCCCTCCTCCCCGCAGCGATGACCATTGTTGTCATCCTAGCTAGCTCCCGCTCCTTTTTCGCCTCCGGGCTCGCTTCTTCCCATATCTTATCCTTGCCTGGGGCGTTTGGGAGTGAGGGCTCCCAGTGAGAATATATTACTATTCAATTCATCTTTAATAATCTAGGAAGTAATTTCTGATGAAGATGACAATGATGAATTTAATGTCCCTCTGTCATCCTCTGTCAAGAAGACAAAGACATCCCAGTAAGTACTTCAGCCTGATAGTAAACGAACAATTTAATTTATAGCAATAAACTAGATGATTGTGGTACATGGAGGTTGTATTAAACAGACTCCATAATAAGTGGACCTTCTGTAGGCTGTAGTGAGTAGAAGTGTCAATGAGTCCCAAACTTTCCTTCTCATTTTTTTCTGTAAAGTAGTTGCATGGGTTTCAGCAGTAGTAAATTCTTCTGGTTTTACTGCACATGGTGAGAATAGGCTGCAATTATACTATTGAAATACGGAAAAATTCAAGGGAAGCTTCGATCTCGGACAAAATAGACGGAAAATTTCGACCTTTCCCCCCCTTTCCCCAAAACCAATAAGACAAAATGGTGTATTTTGGCATCTGCGTGGCTTCTCTGCTGAGGGAATGCTTAGGCGTTGTCATTTTTTGCTGCCCAATTTTTTTGCTTTTTTGTGAGATTCTTGATTTGACACTTACCCTGTACCTGAAAGCTAAACCCAGCGTTGAAACAGGTGCAGTCAGTTCAATTTACAAATCTGGCATTAATGCTTTTGTCTTTTACAGGCCCACTCAATCTCAGAAGTCATCGAGAGGAAGACAAAGGAAAACTGTTGTGAATGTTGCTGTTGATGATGTAAGCTTAAGTTTCTTTTCGTTCTTTTATACCAAGTTATTATGTTATTTCTCGTTAGCAAGGAACCGTTGTAAGTATAGTGTGTGATACGCAAAGTCCCCTTTTTCATTTAACATGTATTTTCGTTTGAAAGGGCCCACATTGTAACGCTTTTCGGCGTTACGTCTACGATCGAACAACCAAAAGGGCGTTTTAGTCAGGACGCGGGATTCGCCGAAATCTTGACGCGGAGGAAAGACGACTATATTCGCCACTATAGAAACGAAAAGGAAACTGGGCCGAGTTAACTTTTGCAAAGACTTCTGGGACTGCTACAGGGAACAAATTAGCCAATAGCTGAATGGCGCGTCCCCAGTAACAATCCCAGAAGTCTTTGCGAAGCTAACTCGGCCCAGTTTCCTTCCTATTTCGTAAGTGGAATTTCGGGATGCGGGATGCGGGATGGTCGCGAAAAGGAGCAGGGATGCTGAATCAGGGACCCCCCTTCCAAACCCTGTGATACGAAAACAGTCTATGAACCAGGTGGTATAAGATCCAAATAAATATTGTCTTGTCTTGGCTATGAACTTAGGCGCCCAAGAAAACTAAAGGAGCCAATCTAAGTAATTTTCTCCACGTAATTTCCACATTTCTTTTCTTACCTGCAGGAAGAAAGTGAGGATTCAGACGACCCCTTCTCCATGCAACCAAGCAGTAAAAGAAGCAAACGATAGCAACAGATGAATCTCGCTATTGCCAATAGTGGTTACGTGACTGTGCATCTTTTGACCCTGTACTACTACGTCTTTGAATAGGTTCCACAGCGCTAAACCTTTACACTCTTTCAAGGGCTAAAAGTCAAAGTGCAATGGAAATTTCAAGGTGGATTTAAAAAATCTGGAAAAATGAAATGATAAAGCCACTTATTTTCGAGCACATTACGATTCGACAAGGGTGACGTCGATGAAAGCATCAGTGCAAAACGGAAATAGAATGTGAATTTCTAGTATAGTGGCAATGGTGTTACTTGTGTTTATCTCCACTTTACAGGGGATCGAAGACAGTTTAGAATTCCTGAACAAAACAAAGTTATCACCCTATTTGCGCTAAATAAACATTAGCAGTACTGTTGGTAGGAAAACATCGGCCAGTACGGTTTCGCTACTTGTCAAGTTCGCTACGTTCGAGTTTGCTACCTACATATATCGTCTCGCTGCCTATTGGCAAAGTCCAAAACTTGCACCCTGGGAGGGACAAGCTTAAAAGAGCGAGAAATAATATATTAAAAGATTTTTTCTAGAGCGATTAAGGGAATAGTTTCAGTGGTTTACAGAAAGTAATATGTAGCGAATTTGTTGCCTACTAAGACGTAGCGAATTGGACACGTAGCGAAACCGGTTGTTACCGTGTGGCCTGGCAAGTTGCAGTTTACAGATAATTGCACATATGTCCTAATGCAGGGGCGGATCTAGGGGGAGGGTGCAGGGGGTGCGCACCCCCCCTCCCTGAGATGACCTGCGGTTTTCTAATACAACTGGTATTCTGCAAAAAAAAACTATGTGGTTTACTGGTGTTGAAGTAGAGCAAGAGACGAGTGCACCCCCTCCTAAAAGAAATCCTGGATCCGCCCCTGTAATGTGTTTCATCAATCTGTATTATATTTTTTTAAGTTAACACATTGTCCCTTTAGTTAGTGTTATTTACAAATGTACATTGAATTTTATATTTTGAGATTATAGTTAAAATATATTTTAGAAAAAATGAAAGAGGTTTAAGACAGATGACAGATGTTTACATTTTGATGAATTCAATTACGTTTCTTATGAAACATGATACACTGTAAAAAGTGTTTGGATTTGCAAATGTCAAACAGTTTATCCTATTACTCGAACTTATGTGTTGTTCAAACAGAAATAGCAAGCTGATGTGGTTACTTGCATTAGGAAATTCTCAAATAAATTTATATTTGCCCTATAATTGGTCACACCAGTTCATGACATAATTAGAGCTACAGGTATGGAAACATCTTGGTACATAACCTTTTATAAAAGGCTTGTTCCTTGTGCACCGCTGAGTTACATTGACATTAGAAATTGTGATAGAGCCTTTCAATCCCTGCTTGTTGTCACAAGTTTGCAATGTGCCTCTGTTCCTAGCTTACTTTTGTTAAGAGTTTAGGACTTGATGCTGTTTGAGATAATAACTAATACTGAAATAAAACAAGTGATCCTCATAAACAAAAAACATTTATTCAAGTGTTATAAGAGTGCAATAACATTAAGTGAAATTGATATAGATTCTTTTGTAGTTTCCAAACTAATATGATATGCAACAGCATTGCTTTTTGGCCGGTTTTTTTCTCCCTTTTAAACCGTCTTTGACACCTCAAGTTACTCATCTCTAAAGTTTCTCGCCCGGGAGCCATGTTTGCCATGTTTTCTGTGCTTTTGGTGTTGCCGTGGTTTATACAGCGGAAGGACCTTTCTTTGATGTTGATGAATTAGTTTTTCTTCACGTTGAATGACTCCTCTTGTAAGCTGCTCTTCGGCTTCCTCACCATTCACGATGAATTTCTGTCCCTCCACTTCATCTTCACTTGTCTCAGCACTTGCCAGATTCCCCTCACTCCCTGAGAAGTGGCAAAGAAGAAGAAGCACATAAGGATGAAGGTAGGGGTATAAAATTAAAAGCTAATATGATTTTAAATCAGAATCGGAAAATATATTATTAACAGAGTTTAATTCACTTATTCCCTGATTGTAGGTTACACGTAGCATAGGGGAACCAGATGACATCCCCTTGACGAGACGTCTGAAGAGGGTTTGGATTCGTTAACCAAAGTTCATAAAAAAATAAAACCCCAAGTAACTTTGCTTCACTTTTTATCGCTTCAGCCAGGTACATAAAAATTGATCATTCTTTTGCCCTTGCAACATTCCCGAAAATAATTCAGGAACTCTTTTTTTCAAATCCTTATGCACATCTGCAGGGGGCTGTGTCTCACTTGCTCTCCAAAAATTAAAGACAAGGGGGATCCCAGGTTGTCCTTTTTATTGCTGTTTTCATTGTCATTCCAACCGGCCTTTCCAAGCCTCCTTACCTTTTTCAAAAGCCAGTGTTGTTTCACTGAGAGGTTGAAACAGAACGTTGCGTGTAAAAGAAGATTTGCTTTGAAGCAAAGCAGTGTCAGTTGGTGTGTTAAGTTTCTCATTGCTTCCTGATCCATAGTATCTGTGATGGCCAGGGATAGCTTACAAACACCATACCAAACATGCAGGACACATCAAAACTGTTGCAATATTCATAAACGTTATTCATTTTCACAGCATCAGCTGGAGATAATCTTACACAAACGAAAGCTGTTATATATGGAAATTAAGTTCAAGGTAATGATGATGACATTGTTGATGTCAACAAATGTGACGTTGTTGATAATGATGATGATGATGATGGTGATGGTGATAATGATGGTTATGATAACCATGAGCAAGATGATGACAATAATGGTATTTACTCACCATCACATTTCAAGGTAGTACAGACCCACTGCCCACAAGCACAGACACTGGAATGACACAACAGTTAGAATACAACTTTTCACATGACACAGTAGTTATTTTACTATATACAATTACTTCTGGAACTATACAATGTCATATTTTGCAGTTAAGAGGGTTCTATCTACTAGAGAAATTTATCAGTAGCTTACATGGACTTTCACAGTGGACGGGCTTGGCCTAGTTCTGATGAATTTTAATGATGAGCAAAACATTGGCAATCTCAATAATGATTTATATTACGTATTAAAAATGATTATGAATTAGATGACTGTTCAATACCAAATTGAAATTCCCAATGTTGGTCTTACCAGGTGTTACAATCACTGGTTGGAATCTCTGAGCCATCTCCATAAGCCTCATCGTCCAGCTCACAATCTAAAATGATTAAAATGACACAAATAAATCACTTGAACAACAAAAATACCTGCTTATGTAAACTGCACATCACACTTCTTTCTTGCATATTATTGCATGGCAAGGTTATATTGTTTTTTAGTGCATTTAACTGACTCACAGTTAAAGAAGAAAACTCAGTAAAACCTTTAAGGGAAGAGAGAGAATCATGTTTTCTACATTAAAAATATAGTAACTACACTACCTTTCTTTGTTGGTTTGAATTCTGTAAGATAAAAAGTTTGTTCATAATATATATTAGCATCAATGAAGAAATGTCTGAGTGTCTTCTTTGCTAAACAGTTCTCACCATATAAGCCTCTAGCTTCAGTGCATTGGTATGAACTGGTAAATCTAATTCTAATGCTTAGACAATGAATTAATTTACAAAGTCAAATGATAAGTTCTCACTAGTGATAAAATATAATAGTAATCATTATCTCTTCTAGCAATAAATTCAAGCATTCGTTAACATATGTAAGCAAAAAAGCATTAAGAAAAAATAATCGTTCTTTACTGTTTTTGTTGGAAATACTGCATGCAGTTTTACTGAACCACTCCTTGTCACAGCCCCTCCCTCCCCCTCTCCTAGCACTTCCTTCTGACATACACAAAATAATATTGAATACAATAAAACTTGCCTTGCTTAGAGTAAGGAGCAATTTATGTCACCTATAAATCTCCGTCAAACAGCCATTCCCATTACCCAAAACAGGAATTAGAGTATGACCATAACTCCAGTCTGGTTCCTTACCTTTCTCTGATACCACTGTGTCGCTACATTAAATAAAACCCTCCTCTCTAGTAGGCTCCCCCTGATCAAATTTGCTTGAAAGAAATGAGCCTCCTAATATTTATTATTTGGGATTTACTTTATGGTGACTCCTGATACACACCTGAACTCAAACATTTCATGAACTCATGAAAACTTAGTTCCCCGTCTGAATCCTCATCACTAATTGAAATCAGAGCATCGGCGCACAATTTTTGCAGGATGGGGTTGGTGTACTCTTCCATGCTGGCAACCTACATTTTAAACATGTGAAAACTGTCATGATCTCAACTTATCTAGGAAGGTGTGAATGAAGCCACCAAACCCGACTAAAGCCCAGGAAAGTCACCAACAACATCTGAATATACTACCTTTTGGGATCAGACTGAGATTCAGAACAGTGTAGAGAATGGGCATATTGAAATGAGGTATCAAAGATTTGATAATAATGATTGCTACCTATCAGCTAAGCCAAGTCAGACATATATCAATAAGGGTAATACCTCATCAGCTGATTGATTTGCAGCAACAAATTCTCTGAACTCAGTAGCATCAAGTTTTCCATCCTTGTTTTTATCAACCAAGTCAAAGAAAAACTTTAGGAGATTCTTGTACCCTTCAACTCCTTTCAGGGATGTATCTTGGCGCTGTAACCATCCAATTAGACGGCTGCGTATTTCATCACGGTCATGCTCATAACAGACAACTAAAAGATCAATAAGACAATGACATTTTCCAGATGGCATATGAATTTAATGCGTACCCAATACTGGTGTACAAGGGCAGGTTCATTTTACTAGAAATATGCATATTTTTCGCAGAATCTCGCAAAGCTCATGGGAATAAAGTAATATTACACAAATATGACACTTCTGATGGCTATGAGGTACAATAATTTTAAATAGCTTAATGATTTGTAACTCCCTGCACCTTATGAACCTAGGTACTGAACCTCCAGAGCTTATTAGATTTAGTAGAGAACATGTTAACCATCTAATAACATTTAATTTTGACTTTTGACACATACAGGAGCAACACGATTTTTGAAACCATTAAGGGAGAAGTATATTGGTTCAGATAATTGGGTCATTTGAAAAGTTGGAGGTAAAATTATCATCAGTGGTTGACTGGAAAAGGGAGGACACTTTTGGTTAGAATAATTGCAGTTTGGAAAACCAAGGGTTCAAGAAATCCGGACTGTATAGGCATGAACAAGTGTAGACGAGTGTTAGGGTGCATCATTTTACACCCTTTCATTAGCTATCCTTGAAAAAAAAAACAAAAGATAAACTTACCTGGTTTTGACTTATTAACCTTTGCAGAAGGAGGAGAATGGGTTGGTTGTCCTGTTGTTAAAAAAATATCAGTTGGGTAAATTATTAGTTTCTTGATACACCTCAGCCGGTGTCAGTGATGCAGGCTACAGCCTCTCCAAAACAACCATTTTGGGGAAATAGTGAATTGGCCATTGCAAAGACAAAAATTATAAGAATGTATACCCACCATGAGAAAAAAAGTTAGTGCTGTCGAGAGAATGCTAGGCATAAGTTCAGCTGCAAGTTAAGTAAGGCCCAGTTCACACTACGACAAAAAATAGAGTTTGGCGCCCGCAAAGAATTTGAAAATTTTGTACTCAACAATTTTTTGTTTTTGCCACCTTGGTTGCATCAGAGACACTCGAAAGTTTTTGTCTAAACAGAAACATCATTAAAGTTCCTTTAATTGGTCACGTTCATGAAATAAGATGACCTGAAGAAGGATGGCTCTCAAGGAACAAAATAATGAGTTTGTCGCCTGACAAAAAATTGTAGGCCTCCCAATCTTCTCAAATTATGGCATCTTTGAACTTTCATGAGAGCCGACAAAACTTTGGTTGTTGAAAAAACTTGTTTGCATTAGAAATGGCTTTCTGTTGGCAGATTTTTTTATTGCGTCAAACAAACAAAATTTTGCTTAGCACAAACAGGGCCTTAGCACTTAATTATTACCCTTCAAATCAGGTGGCTTTGTTTTGTTAGTTCTTTGGAACACCGTATTCTCTTACACAACAACCACCTTTAGGAAAGAGCAAACTAGCCAAATTATGTAGGAGAGGATAAAAAAAGAGAGTTTATGCAGGGGAAAAAACAGGGGCCACTGTGAAGAGAAGGCCACTGTAGGGAGGTGGTACTGGCAGAGGTTCGACTACACGAGCACTGTTAGAATTCCTCTACACATCCTACTAATTAGGGAAGAGATCTATACTGATTAAAGGAAAGGTAGGCAGTATTATGAATGTTTGAATTAGTTTTGAATACCCCCCAAAAGTTCCTAATGAAATCAAGCCACAGAAAAACTACTTGTGAAAATTATTCAAATTCCTACCCAATCAGAAATTGCGGAATGAAAAATTTCACACCCCCCAAAAAACTTTGTGCATCAAAAAAACCAGAGTTCCCACTGGACTAAAAAGCAGACTAATGGTATTGTAAACACCTTTGCATGTCCCATCATGCTTGATGGAGATCTTTTTTCCCTCCAAGCAGGCAGTCCTGTGCAGCTCACAGTGGTTGGGAAACGTTATCCCATTGGATCCACACACTGTATTTTCACTCTCAGGACATGATTTCTTGCAATTACAGGCAGCATTTCTACCTACAACAGCACACTCCTGGCCGGCATGACATAGAATATTGGTACATGGATCTAAAATCAGAATTCAAGACACAAAGATTGAAATGATGATTTTTCTGAGTAAATTATACAAGTAAGGGAAAATCTCTCATCTCTGCTGGAAAGAGCACCTTTAAATTAGCAAAATTGCCAAGTTTGAAAGAGATTTGTTAAAAAATAACAAAGATATAGCTCCTCAAGGTCGCAAAAGTTTACAGAGGCTCATTTATAGGGAGGGGGGGTCACAAACTTGCCCCCTACAATGCCACAATACAAACATCTTTTTGTATTACACTCAGGTCCATGTCAAAAGCGGAAAAACTATGATAGGGTCTATTATTTTGTTACAATGTGAGTGAAAATGGACAATATGCGATAACAATGGCCCATAGAAAATAACCTGAGTACCCATGTACAAAAAATCTCTGTATGGTTATATGAGATACTACCAAGAAAGCCTAACATTTGTTTGGTCATGTGAGAATCATAATAATTTATCTTTGGCTCAATTCATTTAAGTTTTTCACAGATAGGTGGCTGATGAACTGACTGCATACACTCCAAATAATTGCTCCATTTCTTCCACATGGACAGCACTTCATGCACAAAAAAAACCTACACTGGAGCCTTGATATCACAAACCTCTAGATGACCAAGTCCTTGAAGTATAACAAACGATTTTCTTTTCCCCAGTCATAGTAAGATGTATGGAAAAGAGCCTTGATATAACGAACACATTTTGCCAGTCCCTTGACCCTTCATTCAATTGAGGTTCCACTGCATACGTAAAAAATCTGTCAAAAGGCCCTGGCTGCCGTGCATGGACCATTTTGTTTCAGTAGTGGATGCTGATCGAGGTGTGGCTGTTATGGGGGGTGGGTGCACAGTTCCCCCTTTACCTTGGCATTTTGTAAAAATTATTTAGAAATTTCTTGACAAAGGGTTGCAGTTAAGAGCCAGGATAACCTTGCACTGAGACACCTAGCCTGGGACCAGGCCCTTCATTGGTGGAAAAGGAGAAAAAATCAGCAAGCGACGCAAGCCGAGGGGTAGTCTGGGGAGGGGAAAGGGTCCACTGCTCAGCTCGCTTTGTTTGCCAATATTTTTCCTATTTGACCCCGTTTTTTGCCTTTTTCCCCACTGCAGAACCTGTTCCCAGGCTGAGACACAGGGACCATCTGAGAATTAGGATAGTGCTAACTTACCCTTATCATTACCAAAGCAGTAAAACTAATGCTTTTCAAGTTTTTTCGTTTATCAGGGCCCCCTGAGAAGATGCTTGAGGCAATGTCAGTGATGTAAAAATCCTACATATGATCACTATATCAGTACTTTTCTTTCTTTTTCGCAATGACACTACCTCCCAACCCAGCTTTATAATTGCTTTGCAGTATAGGAGCATTCATCCATTGGCGTCACTGGGGAGAAGTGAGAATAATCGCCAACAAACCTTTGTTTTGAGTTTGAAGCAGTTCGTCATCTTCAGCAGGCCAAGGCTAGGTGATATGGGTGCGTCAACCGGAGAAAGAAACGGAATTCATAATTACTCGAACACTCATTGAATACTTGAAAATTCTTAAAGCCTGTTGGGGGCGAGGGGCATTAATCTTATGTGCTTACAGAATTATATTGCTAAACAGCATTTATTGTGAAAGCTATTACTCTGATTACTGTACTATGAATATATGTAAAATAATGTCGCTCGGTTATCATGAGTCTATCATCTGGAATGGGCCTTTGGTGATCTGCTGGAAACAATTGGGCCTTTGTTTTACTGTATGTGGGACACAAAACAAATCACGGAAAATTGTCGTGTCGCCAGTTTAATAAGGCTGCAAACGGTATGAAAGATAAAGAATATCTAGTGTAAAAAGTGAGTAAAAGCAAATTCGTTACGTCGACAGTGAAATTCTGAAAGCAACGCCACGCTTCCAAATTTTTCCGATCACGCGAAACTACATGTATGATGGATGCAATCTTTTAATAACGGTTCTGTTGTACAATGGGATGAAAACTTTTCATGGGCATTAGGAAACAAATACAAACTCACCGCATCGATTGTAACTGCAAGACAAACCAAACTCCACAACAAACAAAGGGACAGAAGTATTTTCATTCTTCGTTCAGACGTACCGGGTCGCTGTTAACCACTGTGTTAACACACTCTAAATGAGGTCAATGGCCAAATGAAACTTTAAGCTTCTTTGACAAGACAGATTAAATTATTTTCTTGTCAAAAAACAAATACACCCTCAAGTGTTCCAGAAGTTGGTTTCTAGGGCCATTTGGGCTACCAAAACAACTCACCTTCGCTGACAATCTCTGCGCTGCATAGACTGGTTCCGATTTGTCAATAGTCTCGGGTAACTCGCATTCTTTATCGTTAATTAATTAATTGTAACATGATCACATACGATTGAAATCCTATTATTTGATTGTCTTTGTAAAAACACATCAAGTGGGAACGTTTAGCGCCTTTTTTATCTCATGGTTTTTTTCGCCTTTTATTTTTTATCTCGTGTTTTTTTTAGAAACGTAGTGTTAAAACCAGACTCACGCAGTTCACACTTGCCACATTCTTCTAGAGATGGAATATTTAGCAATACCGACAGCGGCCCATATTTGCGGGTCAGTGTATAACTTCAGGCAAGAGAGAATTCTCTCTTGCTTCAGGATTTTTTCACCAATTGGGATTTTTGACGTTAGTCACGTTAGTGTTGGGAAGAAATTTAGGCTGGACTTCCATAAAGCTTATACCGTATTTCCTCGAATAATAGCCGGTGGCGATTATTTCTTGTTTCGCCCAGAAAGGGCACTGCGATTATTCGAAGGAGGGCGATTATTTCAAATACTTCTTACTAGAAGTCGTGCCCTAAATATTTTCCCGTTAAATAAAAAAATAATCACATCAAATAAAACGGAACTTGGGCTTTTTAAGCATTCCAAATTTAGTTCATGATTAATTTTCATTGCGTGAATCGTCACTGATCCGTTTTGCTGGATCACGTTGCACTTCAACCCCGGTCTTCAACTTGACAGGGAGGGGTGGGGGGATTATTTGAGGGAGGCGATTATTTTAAATATTTATGGTTCGAGGGAGGCGATTAATCGAGGGACGGCTATTATTCGAGGAAATAAGGTACCTAAACAGCTTTAGTGGAAGAGTTCCTATTGCTCTCTTTTCAGGAGAGTCAGGGAACATGTCTCTTTCAGTTATCTTTACGCCTGCTAGGCCCCGTCAAGTTCTCATTCATTGGGTCCATTCTATCTAACGGTCAGGGGACAGGATACATTCACACATTGACCTGTGACCTGCAACCTGTGACCGGCGGATTATACCCAAGAAGAAGAGTTGATATCGGATTTTCCAGATTTGCCTGCAGCCCAGCCTTCAAAGCCTTTTGTCCATTCTTTCAAGGAAATTTCAGTCTTAAAAATGTTACCACCCGCGCCAAAGCTTAGTCTGGGTACAGGCTCCGCATTGGGTAAAAAAGGGGGGGGGAAATCGGCGAGCGAAGCGAGCCGAGAGGTAATCTGGGTATTTGACCCAGTTTTTTGCCTTTTCCCCCACCTAGGAGCCTGGTCCCAGGCTACCAAAGCTATGACCGACATGATTATCAATTGTGGCAAATCTGTCCCCAGTTGGACCTTTTATTGCGGCAAACTTGTTTCACTATTAATAAATAGAACAGTTTCTACCTCTTTTTATATACACAAGCTCACGTCGCTATAGTGAATTATTTTTTGACCATATAATATTAATTCAATTTTTACGAACAGATAAATAGGTATGACAGAACACTTTTCATTGAAATAAAGCAATTATCTCAGTTACTTTAGAACTATGACAATAAATTAGTAATATAATACGTAGCTGGTTTTAAACTAAAGATCATAATAATATATTACATGTTTCCAAAGGCATCCTGTTCAGTACATTCCTATTGAAACTTATTTACCTCAAAATATTAATCAACCGAAAAATTCCGAAAATACCGCCCTCCATAATCAAGCAAGAAACTGAATAAATTGAATGATCGATTTTGCACCTTTTAGTTAATTCCTAGTGTTTTAGAGAAACTGTCATGAGAGGCCGCGTCTAGCGTCTATTAGACAGGGGGCGTTAGTTATGTTAGTTAGAGAGGGGCGTCTAGTACTTAAGCAATAGACCACAGGTTCTATGGGGTTTATCGGCGTGATAACCCACGCGGGGGGCGCTTTCCATTCACCAAAAATTCCGGTTTGAAATTTCGGAAACTTCACGTGCTCAATGGAACGGTACATTCCGGTTGCACAGACCCGACCCAAGCCATCGCGCGTTTTGTTATTTTGGCTTCGCAGCAGACGCAAAATTACACTCTAAAAGAGAATAGTAAATACTGATTATATCCTAAAGAACACTCGACTGTCGAAAAGGGGCGGTGGAAAACTAAAGGTGGAGGAATCCCATTTCGTGTAGAAAGCCTATGAATGCAAGTGAAGGTAAAAAATTCTGGCGAATTGTACCGATACGTTTCTCAGAATATTCGAACGATTCGAAGCAATTCCTGGAACTGTACGGTAGATAAATTCGGTGTTTTGGTCAGATTTGTATTCATCCAGGCTGTGTTGTATTCATTTCAGCTTAATTGATAAATTGCGTTAGTTAAATATCGTGGACAGGTTTCAGACAAATAATACGCTGATTCTCACGGACTTTATGTATCGGTCAAATCGAAGCTTCAACATGCCCCCCCCGGGCATACCCCGGGCATTTGACACCTTTGCCGTCCCGGGGAGGAGGGAATTTGATGATCAGAGTCTTCCAGGGGTGGGGAATTTGATCCCTATGCTTTAGGGGTGGGGAATTTGAACTGCACCCTCGATTTCATGTAAAATCTTTTGCGTGGTGATGAGCTATCATGGGGGACGCTGTGGTCGAGGATTTTCGTAGAAAAGATTGTGCCTTTGTGGCCAATTGGTTACGAGGAAAGCTTTGTACCGTATTTGAAGTATTTGAATTTTAAATTTTTTAATTGGATTCAGGCTTTGAATGTATGAATGTATTTTATTGTTGTGTTTACATTGAAATACCATACCTATACCGGCGATTCAATACAACAACATGAAATAAAATAAAATAAAAAGCTCAGGTCAACTACTTTGACTTTCTGCAAGTATGTTAACGTGAATAAGGTGAGCGATGATGCCTGTCAGTGAAATGGTCATGATGTAGCAATCTCAATAGGTGGAATCTTTTTTTATAGAACGCTTTGTATGTTGCATGACGAAGAAAAGCTGAGCATTCAGTGACCTTGTAGCAGCGATTTCCGCCACTTTGCACGAGAATTTTGTTCGTAGTAAATACGCTAACAGTGTTTCTCAGTTTTTGTTATATTTATAAAGATTTTGTTCGACAACTGAAGGCGTTTCCACCGTTCTTCTGTCATTTTTGTGCCTGTGAAATGTCCCCAGGGTGGGGGCATTTGATCACCTGAATGGACCCTAGTGTGGGGCATTTGAACGGCATTTTGGCCCAGGTAGGGGGGAATTTGAACAATAATTTTCAAAAAAGTCAAATGCCCGGGTGGTTGCCCGGGGGGGCATGTTGAAGCTTCGATTTGACCGATACATTATGCGCACACTTTTTTCACCTACGTGTCGTGTTGCATCAGTTATTTGTCACGGTTAATGGCAAATATCAAAAATCGAAAAAAATTGCGACTGATTCAAACTATTTGAGATATCATGCATTACTCACAATATTTCACTTGCCATTGGAAACTACTTGTTCTTGTAAGCAGGATACAAAAGAGCGCCACTGGGGACAACAATTTTGGCAAATGGAAGGGACATTTCGGTCCGACCGACCGAAATGACCAGTCACTGTGGACCACCTTCAAAGCTGGTCCCGAATATTCCGGTCGGACCAAACCGAAAATGGTCCGTTCCATTTGATGAACCAACCGAAATTTCCGGAAGTTGGGGTTGAATGGAGCGCCCGGGATGTTGGAAGAACACGAGAAAATATTACAATACTAATACTAATAAATGGAAAAATGGGCAAAAAAACAAATGACTTGTTAGCGAGAAAATGCAGTTATTAGTATTTTAATAATAATGAGTTAGCGTTAGTACTATGATGACCCAAATTTTTGTTTTTGCTCAAAGTCCCCACCCTATCCCGTGGACCCCCCCCCCTGGGCATAACATTGATAGCTGCATTTCGCGGTTTCACTTGGCAAATGGAGGCTATTCTTGTGGCCGTTTGGTCTGTTTGCGATTGCTAAGCGGCGATGATGCGCTTTATTAAATTAACCAGCCTCTTCGACGTTTTGTCTGATTTGCTGCAGTAATCAAAGGATTTTGTCGGTTGGGAGTTGCTTGAAGAACTACTGGAAGAATTCGTCGACATGTCGAGCCTGCGGACAGAGAAGAAAGACACAAAAATGAGAATTCGGGATTTTCCGGTAAGAATGAATATCTTAAGCAGCCCAAAGCGTTCCTTTGTTAGTTTAAATGTTAAAGTAGTTAAATTTTCTAATCGTTTTGGAGGATCACAGAGTGGAAAAATGCAATTGATTCGAGTTTGCAGTAGTCCAGTACCTCACATGAACCTCTAATTTTCAGGGATAAGGGCATTTTTATGTCACTGTTTCTATTACTTTCACAGCCAATTGTGTGAGCGGTTCAGTGAGGTGCTGCTTGACTAAAGTCCAGTACCTCACATGAACCTCTAATTTCAGTGGTGGACTAAAACAATGTTGCCTTTTGTTTTCAGGGATAAGGGCATTGTTATGTCACTCATTCCACGTTAAGTGGGTAAATTGTGCCAAGGATTTTCGAAAACTCGAAGGTCAACAAATCAGACAAGTAGTTAATTTAACCGAAAGGTGTATTATTGAAGGGTGAGAAACCAAAATTTGGTCAACATATCTTTTATCTATAAAAAGTTATAGCCTGTTATTTCATATCATGTAGTGTGATATTTTGTATGGCTTGAAAAAGCACAGTGTTGCATTATAGTATGTTTTTTTTCAATTTAGCATACTGTAAAATGTTTAAAATGAAATCCGGGGAAGGCTAAGGTCTGAGTTTTACATTTTAGTCAAGTCAGTGGCTCAAGGAATGAAAAAGTCAAGTTGTTCTGCTATGGTGTAC